AACAACAATACAATATAGATACATTAATTAAAACAAAAACAATAATTGTATTTTTATTATTAAGGTACCTACTTAAATCAACTTTTAATAATGATTTCAAAATACGAAGTAACATTTGTAACCATTGTGCAATAATAGATCAGAAGTTTGCTAAATGCAGTTATTGTTCCGACAAAATAAGTTATGGTGGTGATTCAAGTGTTAATTTACTTTGTCATATGAAAACAAAACATTCAACAGTGCCACTTGAACAAAATTCTCCAAAAGGCATGACCCAATGTATAGATGAACTATAAGTGATAATGCAGCAATTAATGTAGTTGCAGCTGTTTGAATGCACCACTGGAAGCATTTTCACTCATAACATTAGGTCGATTGTATAATCAGGATTAGAGGCTGCGGAACAAATAAGATCTAGATAAAAATTAGAAACAAAGTGGATATTCTGTTTTAAAAATTAAGCAACATTGTCCCACCAGGAATTCCACATATGATATGATTGATAGAATATTGAAGATAAAGGAGCCAGTTTAGTCCATATTAACAATTCTTAATATTGATTTAAACATAATTACCTACTTCTAATGAGTGGAATATATTAAATAGTTTATATAAATTACTGAAAATATTTTATGACATAACTAACAAAATTAGTTCAGAGAATTATGTATCAATTTCAAAGATAATAGTATTTTCTAGATAATGGTCAAATATATATCGGTATATACCAATAATTGTACAACGCCAAATGAGATTTGTTCAGTGGCAACAATTTTATTAGAAAAATTAAACTCAAGATTTAAACACCTAGAAAATAATGAAAAATTGTTATGCTATCAATCCTACTTGATCCACGGTTTAAAAAATAAGGGTTTCTAAATGACAGGAAGTACCAATTAATATATGAGTTTATCTTAAAAAGTTCAAGAAGTATTTGTAGTACAAGTCAATGAATAATCAGAAGTAATTGTAGATATTGGTCCACTTTCTGGACCAGAGACTATTTCGAAGGATTTTGATTCTAAAGTTGGCGGTTGCAAAGTGGTGGCTCGAGTGCAAAAATAGCTCATATATTAGAATTGGATCGATACATTGCTGAACCTTTATTAAATAGAAAAGAAGATCCATTAGTTTGGTGGAATGAACATAAATTAATATATTCAAAACTCTACAAATTAGTTTGCCATAGATTATGTGTTGTAGACACATCAGTTTATACAAGCGCATATTCTCGTAAGGCATGGTCTGGCATGGTCTTGACAGAGTGATGATCAAAACTCACAACTAACAAAGTTTAAAAATTAGGATTCCTATATCAGAATTTAGATTAAAATATGTTCTTTACATTATTATTAAAATTTTAAAAATAAAAAAAATCCTATAAATAATTAGTAGTTAAGTACAAATATTATTATATCAAAACTAATCAATTTATAAAAAAAGTTTAAATGTTAATTTATTATTATTATTTTGTTTAATAATTCATATATTTTTTTTTTTTTTTAGTTAAAAATGATGATATTACCTGGTAGTAAATTTATATAGTTTTACAGAATAAATCCATATCTTAATATGTTTGTAAATTGATTTAAATCAATAATGTATAAAACAAAAGTTATAATAATTAATAAGCATCATTAATTATTAAATTATGCAATATAAATGATAACAAATGTCATATTTTATATTATAGTTACAATTGTCATGTTACCTATAGATATATTTTAGTTGATGTAGATTGTAAGTTAGTTCTGGACGAGAATGGTGGAGTTACCTGGTCACCATATGTAAATGGACTATTTAGACTTGTACTAAATTAAGATCCAAATCCCAAAATATTTTTATTCAGTCATACAGTATCAGTCATTGATATACTTCAAAAACAGTTTCATTAAACATTTTCAAAAGACCTAAATATCAATTTGACCGAATACTTTTGGAATGTCATTCAGTCAACTGATCAAATTTAATTATGATTCGGTTATTTCACTAAATCATTCATTTTAATTTGGTCAGTCACGACCAAACTACATCTACTTTAATTTTTAAACCGTCTTTTATTGTGCATGTTACATCTTGATAAACCTTAGGTACTGTTTCATCTACATTTTAAAACTCCTAAATTATACTTACAAAATGTCAAATCATCTTCCACAGATTGGATTAAAAGTTGTATTGCTAATTTTACCTTCATTTTCAGCTTAAAAAAATGTAAAGAACTTCTAGAAGTTTGTTAGATAACAACCCTCATCCTCCTGAATCAAAAATAATTTTTCCACTAAATTGAAACATATTTGTTTAGCCTCACTATCAATAAATTCCCATTTCTCTCCAAAAGTATTCCACACTAGTTTTACCATATAATAGCAGGATCCATAAATACAAAAGTATTATCAAATATACTATTTAATTTGTTTACATCAAAATTACAACCTAGTAGACATGTCATTGTTAAATTTGAAGAACAACCATCAAAAGTTAAACTACCTATTAAAACTATTAAAACTCCTGTTTCATTCAATAGGTTTTTAATGCATGCTTCATAAGTTCAGCTTTTTGAGCACCAGTTATAGAAGTTTAGAAATATCCAACAGGTATTTTCCAATTTTCATTCATAGATACAACTATAAATATTAAACATTCTTAAGCCAATTCTAAACTATCGTACTCAACAGCTGTTCCTAAATCTGCTCTTCTATAACAATATTGTCCATCAAAATCAAGCTGCTGACAAATAGCCATTTCATCCAGCATTAAATGCAATTTGTTTTTCTTTAAGCTGTAAAGTTTGTTGAAGTGCTTTCAATGTTAATTTTTTGTGGCCATTTGTTTTTACAATTTACGAATTCCAATCTTCCAAGACAATCATCTTGGAGTATCATCATCAGCAATTCTACTAGAAGCAGTGAAAAATGAAAGATTCACATTATTCTAAATAAAAATACTAAATATTAAATGTTAAAATATATTCAAAGTTACATGATTATATTTGATTTTAAAACAACACTGGTAGAATTTGATAACATACTATTATCCAATAACTGTACTCCTTCGCAATTAGGCAATTTATTTAGCAGATAGTTATAAACGACAAATTCAATGTTTTAATGAATAATTATACCTTACTAGTATTCGTATGGTATATTTTATATATAAATACAGATACTTGAATAGAACAATTCTCAATATAACAAATTATGAGAAAATTTAGGCAACTTATATTTGATTTCATAGATACCTATATCGATACCTATACCTATATCTAATTGTGGCAATTCTTCATTGGGAGTGATTGATCTATGAATATTAATTCTGCTAATACACATCTAAAAATTATATTAATCATTAATTGCATATATATAGGTACAATATAATATATACATATACACAGTAGTCACTCAATAATTTGAAATTCAGCGGACAGAACAAAAATTCACATTCATCACTCTAGATATTATAATACTAGGAACTGCTGTTTTTGGATAAAGTTCTATAGGTAGCTTTCATATGTTCTATGAATGAACATGGATCAAAATGATTGGAACATATCAGACTACGATTTTTTATATTGCCTATATGTAAACAATTTTCTCTTGAAAAATCATACCGTTTTACTTGAACTTTCTGATTAGCAAGAAATCTGTGAAAAATTAAAAACTAAAAGTATAACAAGCAATATTTATTTATGCATAAATACCGTTTTGCTCCAGAGCAAGATTAGTTGCACCTAAATTTAAATGGTTTTTTACTTTTTCTTGTTACTTACGGATGTGGCTTTGCACAACAATGATGGGCTCAACACTCAACGTATTTGATAACGAGGATATTGATATAGGTACTTAATATAACATACACACAACCTATATCTATACATTTTGGTTTTTTATTGCTTTTCGTTTTCACTTATTTCTCCCAAACCAACAAAATATTAATTCTAATTACACCAAAAACTGCTTTGTTGTAACACACCAAATTAAAAAAAAAGTCCAAAATGTCAATTTTAAGTTAGTTCAGTACGTCATTGTTTGGAATAACCTTAAAATTAAGTTGTACGTGGTTTGTTAACAATGACATAAAAAGTAAGTACGATAAGTGCATTCCGATTTCAGCAAAATATTAAGCATAAAAGTACCAACAATTATTAAAAAAATTAAAAATATTTGTTATTTTAAACTCATAACATGATTTTTGGAAAAATCAAGCATTTTGAAGTTTTTTGACCAAAACTTCCAAAAGAAGTTAATACAAACTTTTTTAAAAGTACCATAAAATTGAGTGTGCAAAAACACATTTAGGAGCTAAACTGTATGTCAGAATTCGTTCCTTTATTTAAAACTTAAATTAATCGTTATTTAGTTAATAAATTAATATACTGACTTATGAAAATTAATATTCCCAAGTTTGTGTTAAAGCTAGTCTAGTCATCTTACAAACCAAACAGCTCGGCATTTTAAACAAATTCTAATTTCAATTTATATTCCTCCGAATTTCGAATACTAAATTTATATTTAACAAACAACAGTCTATCATCTATCATGCATAACAACAAACGGTTATCACGTTTTAATGTAGTTTTCAACCAGTAGAGTGTACCAGTAGTATTATAGTAGAATATGTTAGTCCGTATAATTGGTGAAATTTTAATATTAGTCTGCATTTTTTGTTTCAATTCGATTATACGCACAGATATAATATAAAACATGCCAAATTAGATATATTAAGACATGATATTATACTGAGTATTATTTATTATACCTATGATTTTTATTTATAGCAATTTCCACGTATACTTTTTATTCAGGTTGTTAACAAGATTTTTGATGTTTTTTTAATAATATTTAAAACGTATGTAATTTATTAAATAGTTATTCATTTTATTAAAATAATTAGCTGTAGTAGTATTTAGTTAAATATAAATTTTTTTAGTAACCATTGTATGAAAAATTAATTGTAATTTTTTAATTTTATTAACTAGGTAGATACCTAATCAGCTTTAAACCCTTTTTCTTACTTTTTTTTCAATTAACCTGTGGGGATCAGTTTTTTAAATTACTACCCCACTATTGTCATCATTTATTAATGGATATAATTGTTTTGTAAAATCTTGTTTTCTCCTTCTCGGGGCAGGCTCTCATTGTAACTGTGCTAATTAAACTATGGTGAGAAGTGAACGGTGAGATCGCGTCACATTCTAACAGAATGCTAATTTAACTTAACCTGTACATGACCTTGAGCCGGTAACCGAGGCTTCCCGAGTGTTTTCTTTGATGTCCAGGACTGTTGAGAGAGCCTTTTCATTGGCAGGTGGTTGGCCCTTGCCTCACCATCTCTTATTCTCTGGTCCTGCTCCTTGCGGTCCTTTGTACCCTAATCAGGAAGTTACGGCATTTCGCAATCTTGGTCGCGTAATTAGCCCGTGTCGGGGCTGCGTAAAGCAGTTTACTGCCAACCACCGATATTAGTAACGCCCTCTTGGATTTGGAGAGTCCTTTAAGGTTGGGCATGAGAGATCCAATGGTTCGGACTACCTGTGAAGCCCTTCCGAAGACGGTTTTTAATTGGCTGCTGAAGGTGAGGTGAGAACCTATATGTAGTTCAAAATAACACAGGTTCTTTTTGACTGCAACTGGATGACCACTGGCAAACAAGATAGGGAAGTAAAATACCCATGTCCTGGTTAGTATGATGTGAAAGCTGGAGACCATGGTTCCATATCCAATCGTCAATGGCATCGATTGTGGGATTGGCAGCCTCTTCCAGAGCCTCAGGAGTGCGTGCGACGGCGAGGACAGCCAAATCATCGCTAAAACCAATTAGTTGAACTGATTCCGGGACGTCAATCCCCAAAAGGTCATCGTAAAAGACGTTCCAATATCAATAGATACCTAATATCTATTTATTATTAGTGAACAATCGAGTGCATTATCATAATTTATGCTAAACCACAGATATATAAAACAATTATATTTTTATTTTTATATATCTGTGTAATAATCATACATAAATGGTGATTAATAATGAGTATCCAACAGTGTTGCTATAAAAATGGAATTGGTAAGTAAACCAAATAAACTATGGTTGTTGGAACTGTCAAAAAATTGATACATAATAAAATATTTAAATTGTATTAAATAATGGAACATGACATTTTGATTGGATTGCATTTTAATTATTACTTTTTATCAATAGGGCCCGGATTTATATGCATTTGCATGTTTTTTTTAACAATCCAAAAAGTAGTTAGATAAGGTACAAGTTTGAATTATAGTTAATAGATCCGAAATACAAAATGTTATTTAGTACATTTTTGCATATTTTAATATATGTTGCAAATGTGTGTATTTTACGATTTTTCATTGCATTATAGTCGAATATCTAAATTTTTTAAACCTATTTTTTTACTATTGTTCGTTGGTTTTACCCATATATACCTATGATTCGTAATAATTTATTTTCTTATATTATCTAACCACTCCTAGAGAAAAATGTAATCAGTTGCGGTTTTAGGAATTTATTCTGGAGGAATCAATTTATATTACTTATATATTTAACATGAACAAATATTTTCCTATTGATCATGCAAAAATTGCCTAACTTTCACTGTCAGAAAAAATAATTTCTTTTTCCTTACATAATCTAATCTAACCTATGTTTTATAAAATTCAAAAGCTGTCCTAGGATAATGAGGACGAGTGCAGTCACTTTTATAGGTAATTTAATGTATTTCTGTAAGCAATGATTAACCATTGCTAATTATAAAACGATTCTGAGCGGAATTTGGTTAATAGTGTTACTTTGTCAACAATATATGTGTCATAATATACCATAATATGTTATGGTAAAATAATTGCATATACATTACATAATTTCTTTAATATTATTATTTTAGGTACCTATTTTCCTGTTTTTCCCATCTATTGGGAAAGGAATTCCTGGGAAAGTAAAAAAATGACCTCACCAAAGTGCCTTCCTAGTCCGATTTTCTTTTAGAAAAAGTATTAACATTATAAATTGAGCGAAATTGCTGGTAGAAAAATAGTACACAGGATTTTAAAAAGGCCGTAATATATTTTGTTTATACCTGTTTCGTACATTTTCCCGGTTTTCCCATTTGTTGAGAAAACTCTCTCGAGAAAAATAACGTCTCTAAATTATCTCCCTAGTAAGATTTTTTTTTTCAGAAAAATTGCTATCATTCAATCATTGTAAATCATAGTAAAATAGCGAATATAAATAAGAAAAGTTATCCCCAGAAAAAAGACCTAATATTTTACTAATATATTACTTAAATTTTCCAATTTTCACCACTTCATAAATATATAATATATATTATTTTGCTTAATATTTTCCCTGTAATGTATATATGACGTGTATAATAAAGAATTACAACTCGTATTAATTTGTCATTTATTTTCGTTTTTTTTTTTTTTTTTTTTCATAAATGGCATACATATTTCGCACTTTTTTAGTGCATATTATTCCGGGCCCTACCTATCAAATATGATAAGTATCTTCATAAACAAGTACCTAATCAGCTATTCTACTTAATTACTGGGTACTTTTTCCCGTACATCTGAAATGTCCATAATCACAAACGATCAAAATTAATGAGAATCGGATGGAAATTTCATTGGCAACACTGATTTTTGGAACATGATCCAACAAATAATAATTATTAAACTTTTGGAGTGAGTACATATTGAGCACGATCTTCTATAACCGGCGTGGTACTGAGCATTACCCACAGATATCCATAAAAACTAGATAGCCGATTCCATGTACAATTATGATACCCAGCGTTATTTGTCATTTAGGCGATGTTTATAAATTCTTTCATTACCAGACAGTATTTAACATAGTTCATGGTTATTAATTTATCTTCGATTAGGAAATCATAAAAATGATAAGAATTTGTAAACATTGCCCAAATAGCGCTGGGCATCATAATTGTATACTGAGTCTGCTATCTAGTTCATATATATATATATATATATCTGTGAAATAGATGATTACAAAATTCACTAAACAGTTTACTAGAAAAAGTAACCAGATTACAGCGAAGCTTTTTGCCGCCGTTCATATCTCCATCAATGTTTTGCCGCGAAACATGTTTTCGTTATAAACTAACGTCGTTGTTTTTTAACGTACGTTGGTGGGATCATCACTATGATACATAGATTTATTAGGGACATTTAATATTAAATGTACCCCCCCTTCTGTTTTTTGGATCAAGAATATCTCTGGGGGATTTGGTGATAGGATAATGGTTTTAACGACAAAAACTTTGGCTTGGTACCCTACTCAAGATCCCACCATAGTTTGATACAATAAAACTCCTAAGGGAACTAACTTGAAATTCGTCTAACCATCACCAAACTTAAGAAATAGTTCCTAGGTCACCCTAGCCAAATGTAGGGAAATTCGAAAAGGTTCAAAAACTGTTGGTGGGTCATTATTTACTGAAGCGCCACCATTATAACCCCACGAAAATGTCTCGTGACGAATAGTTGGCAAAATGAACGGCGGCGAAAATATATAGAGCCGATTACAGTAACTAACTGGCGAAAACGTTATCAGTAAACAGTTTACTTGCGGTTAGAACGCCAAAACATGCTTAATTCTATGCATATTATTATTATTATTTATTGACTTGATACAAATATACTAGTATGAAGTGAATGTTATTATTCGTATTTTTTCCATTGGTACCAAGGAAACACAGAAATTAACGAAAAATCTACAAAAAATATTCAATTTTTCTCATTTATGAAAAAAACTACAAGGAAAATAAATAAATAAATTTATCCCTCGAAATAAATCAACTTTCATTCATGAACGAATACAAATTATGTATTCCTACATTTATTGCTGACATAGGCCTATTATTATAACTTAAAAGTTGAAATGGCGGGTATTTCGCCAAATATAACGACGTACAAATAAAAGTAATGTAAAATTTGAAAATCGTGTAATCTTAAATTTCCTAAAAAGAAAATACAATGCATTCCGAGATAATGAGTGTTAATAGCTAAATAAAAATCACACTTTATAGACATATAACTTTGAGTACCTAGGTAGGTACTAATACAATTTTTGAAATTGACATAAGGATTACGTTATTAATACTATTATAAGATACCTTCTACAAATTATCTAATGTGCAAATTGTACGAAAATAAATAATTTCAGATTAGAATTTTATAACATATTTGTTTATACCAAATAAAACAAAATTAACTATAGTTTAGTCACTAACACTTGTCAGTAATTACGTCTTATGAGTAGATATATATATTCACTATTCATAACTTCATAAAGATATTTTTTCAAGAGATACTTCAATTTTTATCTTAAGCCTTAGTCATATTTTTATAATTTTATATAATTCATTCTATTCAACTTTGTAAGTACTGTTAACACTGAGCTTATTTTAAAGTTACAATATTCATTATGTTCAATAAAATTATACTGTATTACCTATTACTTGCAATTACAATAACTGCCACTCTTGGCAGAAATGATCGATTCAAAGTTTTGAAGAACAAAATTGTCAATCGTATCAACAAACATGAATTTAAACTACCATTCTGTGGAAATTTAATCAAAACCAGAGATCATCAAATCAAAAACTATAAAGAAGTAATTATTAACTTTTTTAGTACCTACATTTTTCTTATTCAATCTTATAAATTAATATTAAAAAACTCGTACAATTTGAAAGTATTATTTTTAACTAAAATAGCTGTATAAATCGCAGTTTTAAGTAATCAAATCTACGGTACTTATTTATTTGGAAAGCTAATATGGAAAAGAATGGAATATTATTATTCTATACAATTTTTAACAATATATTTGTTTACAATACTTAGGTTTCCATAATGATAAGAACTGTAATTAAGTATCTATATAACATTTAAAATATATTTATGTAAAGCTTTGAAAAGTAGCTTTCACAAGTCTGACATTGTTAATATCTATTAATGGCTATATTTGTGTGTTCTACGACACATTGTGCATACTACAAAAACGTTAAATTTGCACCATCAACCTCATTATTTATTATAGAGGCGTCTCGAGGTTCTGCAGATGTAAGAAAAATATATATATTTTATTTTATATTTACAGTGTAACCAATTCTCGATAAGATACTTATTATCTATATAGCCATCTATAAAAAATTAGGAAAGTATTTACTTTTTTTAAACAACCTATCAAACAAATGGCTCTAAAATGTTACATCAAAGTTATTTTTTGTAATTCATATTTTCGTGGATAAACTATTATTTTTGATTTTTGAATAACACTGAACATTAAAAACTCCATACATAGATGACGTTTTAGTTAAATACATTTTGGTATTGAAATTTTTAATTCCAGTCTATACCGTGTATACCAAACTAAAATACATGTATGTGCACTATGAAAAGTCTGAAAAAATAGCCAAATTATTATTTACCTGGTATACTCTGTTCAGAAACTAAAAATGAAATAGTACTCGCCTAATAATAACACTTAGATGTTCAATTACAAATATTGATTGCTTAAAAAACAATAAGTAAATAATTAAATTTTTAAACTAAAATGTAAGTATAGTAAGAAATTATTTCTGTTTTAGATTCCATTGAACATTATAACTCAATTGAACAAAGTGACAAGTATTTCAGAACTATTTTGGAAATTTTTACCACATGATGATATATTCAATGTTTTATATTATACTACAAATAATAATCAAAGTATGTTTCAATTATGTTAATGTATTAATTTAAACAATTTGTTGCAAATAGGAATGTAGTGTTAAAAAAATGAAAAATGAAGATATTTAAAGTAGTTTAGTCCATTGATATAAATATATTTATTTGAAAATGAATAACTCGAGTTATAGTAATAATTATTGCTTACACCTTTAAACAACAATAATGAAAATGTGTACATGATCATATCAACAGCATCATTTATTTTGACTAATATTACATATTACATTAGCATAATAAATACTGTGTTAGTGTGTTATGTATTAATAAATTTGACAATTGGTTATAGGCGTTTCTTAATTTTATAAAACTTTAAGTAGGAATCGTAAATGTACAAATATAAATACCTGCGATTAAAAAAATAGTATATATCAAATAAAAATAATTTACTTTGAACAAAATATAAGTAATAAAATGACTTACCATTTTCATGATTATTTTACATTTAAACCATACAATTTTGATAAATAACCATTATGTAAATACATTGATACAATAATATATTAACTGAGAGTATATTTTCAAATGCTTTTTTAATTATAAATACTATTTAATCTATAGATTCATCAATTATCATTCCGAAAGCAGCAACTTGTACCACAGATTATCAGGTAGTTAGCCTAAGAGATGATGATGACCCAAGTTTATACTATTCACCGCCTTGTACAAGAGTGAAGAGATGCGGTGGCTGTTGTGGTAGCAATCTAGTTTCCTGTCAACCAACCAAAGTGGAAATGCTTAATTTCCAAGTAAATTTAATACAATTTGAATGTAATATTTTTTTCACCCATCAACTATCCTAAATGTATTTATGTATTATAATAGGTAACTATTTTACAATACAATGAGACATTTGCTTTTAAAGAAAAGAAAATTGTTACGGTAGAACAACATGTTGCATGCAAATGTGATTGTACCATAAAAGAACAAGTATGTTTCAATAGTAACAAAATATTATTTTGGCAATGAATAAATCAAATGACTTTTTCTATATAGGATTGTAATTTCTCACAAGTTTATAATGCTAAAGAATGCCGTTGTGTTTGTAATAATTTTGAGGATCAAGACAAATGTGACGAAAAAAGGGATATAAAAATGTGGGATTCAGAAAGTTGCTCATGCCAATGTATGGAAGTTCAAGAATGCACATCAGGATTCAAATTCAATTACAATACTTGCAGGTAGAGCTTAAAAAATTATTTAAAAAAGTTAACAGAATAAATGTTTGAATGTGTTAACATAAATATTAAATACTTAATAATTCTAAGTATTGTATATTTATTTAATAACTAATAGACACCATAAATAGTAACTTACAATTTTTTTTTTCAGTTGTGAACCTACAGAAGATACTGTTAATCCTCATAATTAATATGAATAAATTCAACAAAAGTTTATATGAAAAAAATTCTCAAAGAAGTTGTTTCTACGATTTATATTAAGATGAATCTACTGGTCTTATTTATATAATTACAATATTAAACTGATAATATTATTCCCATAAATTTATTTATGGGAATTTCTTTTAGCAATTTATTCCATAATATTTTGGGTCATTAAAGTTAAGTAGTTTATTTCACCTACTACTTTATATATATCTTATATATAACACTATTTAAGGCAACCTAAAAAACCGGACTGAATCTTGTGGATTTGAATATTTGATTACTATTTTATAGTTATATAAGATCTAAACATTTGTTTGAAGTTAAACACAATTTTTATATTTTTATCACTAATATTTAATAACAATAATTTTGATTCATGCAACCATATCAATTTGTCAACCAAAATAAAAACAATTTAGAAACATTTATGAGATGTAAAAAACCAAGTTTACTAGCTATAGTTCAATTTTAATACTGACCTGTGTAAAATAATATACCAAAAGTATGGCATTATATAATTTAAAATTTAATTCTAATCAAATTAAATTAGTTATTCCTTTTATTTAATAACATTAGAACAAACACTTTACCACTAAATAATGGTACTAACAAATTGCTAAGGTACAGTGTTATTTTAGTGATCAAATAAACATAGGATGAAAGACTGAAAAAAATTAGACTTGAATTATCAATTCCCAAAAGGTGGTATTAAGGCGAAAGAGGAGATTACAAAAATGAAATTTATATAATTTTTTTAATTAGTAGTATAATTAATAGTTATATTTTTAAATAAAAATATAATATCAGCTTAAATAATAATATAGTTTAATATCATATTTTTAATTTTACATTTTTCTTTATGTCCCCTGAACGAACATTTGCAGGTTAGGTGTTTATGGAGTATTTTTTTTTTTTTTTTTTCATTATCAACCCTAATGTTGGTCTACAACTCCCATTCTCTATTCTAATCGATTGCTCGCTTTTTCCTTGATTTCTCTAAACGTTTTTTAACCCTTGCATCACTTTTTATTTGTCCTATATAAGAGTTTCAAGGGCGTCTTGCTGTTTTCTTTCCCTCTATGATTATATTATGCAGTTCTGGGTGTTTCATTCAGGGCATATCCAATCATTTTCCACTGTTGTGGAGTCAATTATGCATACAAATTAAATAATTTAAAAATATATTTACCAATTATTTCTAAACAGAACTTATTTTAACTTATAACAGTAACAGTTTCTTAAACAATCTACATTTTGTTCACTGAATTCAAAAGCCATCTACTAATAGTAAACAAAAAAATATGTACATTGAAATATTATTAAAAATAGATCATATTAAATGTAAGAAAGACCTAACATTGCTAATGGTACACCACTATGGAAGATAGGAAAGATACATCATTATTTATTTTACATATGTAAGCAATGATAGATAATTGCCAATAAAATATAATTTCTTAATGAAATTTGTTTACACACAATTTGTGAAATCGTGATTGATTTCCAACAAAATAAAATATTAAAACATATTACTACATTATTATTATTGTCATTATTCTTGTTTGGTAAAAACTCAGAAAATTAAAATGCCTATAATAGCATAAGTTTTGAAGATTGTAATAAGTATAGAAAAGGAAAATTTAAGTTTTCTTTCAACATATGAAGTCTCCAGGAACATTTTCAACTGAATTACAACAAAATTGAAAATAATAAAATCATTATTTCTTTTAACTTTCCTGTTCTTTCTATTTTTTTTTTTTTTTACTCAATTTTGTTCAGTTATTAAAAAAACTACTTGGAAAATCAAATCAAAAACAATTTTTTAATCATAAAACAGATTAAAAATAATACAAAAGTCTAATTGTTTTTTTAATTTGAGCAATATTTCTAGTAAAAAGCAAATTTGTAAAAATTAAAAATAAAGAAATTGTATGTCACATTAGGGTATGCCATTTTTCCCAATTATTATGAAAACCTCTCGCACATCATAGTAAAATCAATAGATCCATTGCTACTCCGAATACAAAGGAAACAATAAGAAATACAAGATTATACTATAAAATATTATTATTACTAAGTATACATACATTAATACCTGACATAAACATAATGAAAAACCAAGTCACATACCAAACAATAAGTAGGTATAACATTTCCAAAAACTGTGGAATTTCAATTTAAAAAGTTGATGTACATTATATATCACTACTGCTATAGCACTATTATTTTCAATGGTTTTATATTATGAAAGACTATATTTTACTGTCCTATTATAACACTTCAAAACTCTGGACACTGTATTATTTATGTTATTTTTAGCTTTATTTTCTCTCTAAATTAATTTACCTAAATTACTACAGCTATAGCAGTAGTATTTAAGTGTGTATTTGAAAGTAGTTTTTTTTTCCTTCAAAGAATTTTAACTGTCCAAAAAATGTGTTAAATTAGTAATTAAATTAAAATACTACAATCACTAACATAAATTGAACTAATAAATAAAATAATATTCAATTTCAATAGTCAACAGGAGGATAAATGAAAATATAATTTTCGGCAAAATCAATAAATTGTGATATTTAAATAATCATGTTTATCAATTATAATTAGAGATCGGATTTGTATACAAAAACATATCTTTAACAACTGTATGCTGTTTAATGAGAGTAAAAAATGTTTGAGTTTCATAACCTGTGGAATCTATTATAGAAATGTCTTTGGATATGAGTGCATATTTTGACTTAAGAGAATATTTCGGAATATTTTAGCTTATGGCAGTGGTCTTCAACCAGTGGGTCGCAATAAGTTTTCTTTTTAAAATAAAAATTAAGTTTATATTATTATATAAGGTATACAAATAATTGTTTAATTATTAAACTTAGACAATTAATTAATGAAAATACAGTTTAAAAATTATTGTAATATATTATGTATAACAATATTATATAATTTATATACAAAAATATAATAGCATAATGGATTTCAAATCACAGTATCTGTTTCATATACTGGTATGATTCTACGTAGTATGAAATTAAATATAATAATTTACGAGTAAACAGGAATAGTAATACAATAAATATAATATATTATTATTGTTAAAGAGTCCCATAATCTATGGACATTGTCGATGTGTTTAAAAACGAATAAATGTTAGTCCCGTTATTATTATAGTCATATTTACGTATCCGTTAAAAAATTATTTATTTTTATTTATTCAGTTATAAGAGAACTACTAAAAAGTACTAAGTAATTTTAGATTTTTATTTTGTTTTTCTTTATGTATGACTTAAGTGGGTCGCAAATATTGTACGCCTAAAAAAGTAGGTTGAATCCAAAAAAGTTGAAGACCACTGGCTTATGGTACATATTAAAGAATATTTTTGCTATATTGGATATTACAGAATTTTTAGTTTAATTTATTATTAATCACCGACTTAAGAATTTCCTGTGATAAATTGTTTTTCATTAACTCATAAGCAACTATATTTTTATACCAATATACCACTAAGCCACAATACACCAATAACTAATAATTGATCTATGATCTAAGAATTTCATAATAACTGATGATTTCTTAAAATATTTTGAGAATATTAAGAATATTTTAGAAATATTTCATACATTTTTGCATATAAACAAAATATTTCAAATGTTTTAACAGAATATAAACCGGACTCTAATTATAATTTAATCTCATAATAATTTCTTTCTTTCAGTTTATGATATCTTTATAACAAGTTAACAATTATAGTTCATTTACAAAATCAATGACATAATATTTTAATTTACAGAAAATAAATGTCTAAATAATATAATTTTTAATTTCCTTAATTGAAGCAGTGTTTATGTGAACAAATATTAATTGTTACAACAGTCACTATATTATGAATGAACTGGTCAATCTGATAAAATATAAACAGTATTTTAAGGATTTCAGAATCAGTTAAAGATAGTTAATGACAAGGATAAAAGTGCAACAATTGATTGATGTCTATTGAACAAATACAACATTTTGCTGTAGCAAACTTCTAAGTTATAAAAATATGTATTTAAATGAATACCTACTACATTGGTAAATAAAGTAGGAGGTAATAATAGGAAAATCTATAGCTAATGTTTTCCATGACAATTATTCTTTCAAAAAATTATTATTTAGTGGTAATTTTAACTTTAGTAATACAATTAAATTGGTTATTTGAAAAGAAAATGTACTATAATAATGTATTTGAAATAGACATAAAACAAAATGTTGCAATAATAGTTCTTACCTGCATTCATTGATTATAAATTAATAAACGAAAAGAAAAACACATTTAAAATGTTTAAATTTAAAAAATTTGGTGTTTATTAGTCTACGCAAAATTCTTTTTCTTCAAAATCTCTAACAAAGTGTCTAATTCTTGAGTGTCATCACCAAAATGTTTGACAACTACACATGAACATCCAACAACTTTTCTTGCTTGACCATTATTGTCATATTTACATAGACCACTCCATTCACCCAATGTTTTGTTGCTGTCAACCTCGATCAGAGGAATACTGCTCTCTGCACATAATCCAGTGACTAATTTCTTGTACATAGCTTCTTCGCAGTTGTTGGCCAATACACATAATACACCTGTGCATAAAATCGTAATTTGACATCGTACAATTACAATAAAATATGTTTTTGAAATACTCACCGAGTTTTTTCTCAAGAGCTTTGGCGCCTTCATGAATACCGTGCAAAAGACTACCATTTACTTGAGCATTTTTCAACACTTCTTTTAGAAGGTTGTACATGTCTCCGTGTTCACCAACTTCTACGGCTTCTTCAATGTCGGACATTATGAATTATTGAATTAATATAACAAGTTTAATATAAACTTAGCAAATAGCTGCTAAAATGATTGAAATTATAAATATAATTAATTATAAATATAATTTCAGAAGAGAAATATTAAAAATGAACACGTTTTTGAGAACGGGAAGGGAAGGAAATCTGATTGATATTGTTGAGGTTAAGTGTTTGAAATCTGTTTATTTTAACGATCAGTGTAGGTAACTCTTGTGCGGAGCACGGTAATTTTATTATGCCCGTATTTATGAAGATTATATTGTACCTTATCATATGTAAATAATAGATAATAAAGATAATAAAAGTGTTACCACCTGATACAGAATAAATAATTTTATATTTATTAAAATTGATAAGTACAATATTATGTAGACATGAAGTATACTAGTATAGAAAATTGTACAATGTACATAGTTTATGTTTGTAACAGTTGCAAATTGTAATTATTGTTAGGTGATTAATACTTTTTTTTTTAATTGACAAAAAACAAATAAAGAAAAAGCTTTCCTTTAAATAAACATTTGTGGATTTCGTTTTATTTAAATAGTGTAATGGTAACTAGATCGAGGTTATAAATTTGTACGTGTCTGTATTTTGTAACCAATTTTTAACCATGGCTACGTTAAGTACAAGAGTTAAAGAAGAAAGACGAAAAAGGGTAAATAAAATTATACACAATAAAATTTTAGAATTTTTTTTATACTGTATCATTATATTTTAAATATCATATTATGTTCTAGTAATTGAGTTTTAAATTTTAAAGCTAATTATATCAGATTATATTGTAGGTATACAGCGTTCTAATTTTTAAATTAAGTTCACTTATTTTTTACATATTTAGGAACATATAATGCAAGTAACCTTGACACTTTAATTTTATAATATGTAAATTCTAAAAGTATCATTATTACATAGGTAGAATTAATTATATAATTATGTAATAAATAAATTATAACAATTTAAATGATTGTTATTTTAGCCTTTATGATCCACCTATAAAAATATATTCACAATACATACAATGTTCTAATTAAATGTAATGAGGCTTTAGAAGTCTGTGTTTGTAAAATATAGTAAAATAAATTTACAAGTAACATATATATCAGTATGTGTTTCTATAAGGCTAAATTAAATTAGTCTATACAATTTAGGAGAATTAGATTTGTAGCATAACTTGTAATAATATTTAAAAAAATCCAAACAAGTAATTTAAGTTTGTACCTACTATTTATTAATTTTATTTTAGAACTTACTCCATTTATATAATTTAATTTAAAATACATTAGACAAATATAGTATATAATCATTGGATTATTAAAACTAAGAATGTAGACGGACGTAAAATAAAAATTAATAACCACACTAACTAAAATATACTATTAATATAGTTTATTAACTAATTAGTTTTAACTTATTAACTTATTAACTTATTAACTTATTATTAACTTTAATTAGTTAACTAATTAATATGCTACACTCTTTGATAAAAAATAATTATTTGTAATTGTTTATGTATTTAAAATATGATCATTTAGAAATGATCATAAATACTGTGCTAATCAGTAGTGTAAAATAATTGAATACATACATTTACTTAAAAAAACTAGCAAAATGTACAGGAATATCTAATATTAATTTGAATATTGTTGTATTCAAAAAAAAAAAAATAATTTTCCATTAATCCTTTTTTAGTATTTCTTTTCATAGTTTTTTCCATTTCTAGTCATTTTTAAGGCATTGTACTGTACTGCACAATTTTTTCTTTTAGTAACGATTCTGTGTGAAACTCATTTGAATATGCTTTGATTTCAAAATTTTTTAAAATTTTCATAAAAATTTGAACTTTAAATGGTTATAAAAAAAATTATTACGTTGTACTTCACTTTTTTATCACGAAGTCATAATTATAATGAACCTTGTGTTCATATTCAAGAATTTTTTACTGGATCAAAATAATTACATCCACATACAACCAATTAATAATTAAAAGAAAATTAACAATTTAAATTTATTATAAATAACTTAAAAATCACCAAAATGTTATGGAAATTGTACCACAGCTAAAAAATGTTTATATTAGTATTTAGTAAAATGATCAGGTCTCTAAATTTATTTTTAACCAAATTTTAACACTTAGTAAAATCAGAATGTAAATTATAAGAATTTTCTCAGAATCTAAAATAAATTTATTCCAATTTATTCGTATAAGCAGTGCGGTCGATTCACAACACACTAATTCTTGTATGGGGCCCATACTTAAAATTATATAAGTACCTATACTATTAATATTTTTTTTTTAAATAAAATCATAATTTGGTAAGTTTATTTTACATGATGTTTAAAATATCTATATTATGTTGTTTATACAGTGTAACATAAATTAATAAATTAAGACTCTTATTTGATATATTGAAATGTTATCAACCAATGAGCATCATCTGTTTTTGTAAGTGTGGGCCATTAAACCCCCAACCCAGTCAGTGTCGTAGCCTGGGGGGGTCACTCAATGGAGTACACATAATAAGTGATAAGGGAACCATAAAATAACAAGTAATAATTACTCAAGCATAGCAAAAACTAGATAATAAAAAAGACATTAAATGCTCCCTCCTCCTCCCCCAGAAATATTTTTATGACTATGGTACTGAACCCAGTTATTATATTATAATTACCTTACCTATTATGAACTTTTATGCATTTATATTTATATATAATATAATCTATAATAATGTCAATGGATAATTTAAATAATTTCACTGATGGTGTGCCCTGCCAAGAGGGGTGCGAGAGGTGCCCATGTACAGGGTGCTATGACCACAGGGGCGCCATTTGATAGTTTTTAAGTTTTTTTTTTGCTCATCGTTAAATTCTTCTAGTACCTGGTGACGATTTTGGTAGGCACAGCACTACACTGATTGGTATTAATCCTTTATTATAGTATGTTTAGATTAAAATACAAAAATAATGGGACCACAAATTAAATTTGCACCGGTGTCCAATTAGCTACTAGACTAGTAAGTATCTAGGAAAATATTTCAAAACAAACATTGGGAATTTGTGGTGAAATAAATATTTTCCTAAATTACTTGAGCAATAAAATATTTATGTATTTTTATTTTCATTGGGCATATTGTTATTATTGGCGTATTATTGTTTACTTTAGAGAAATAATATCCAAAAATATCCCATATTGTGACTTATCATACTATTGTTGTAGGTATGTGTCTGTATGTATTTATAGTACATTATAAATACACTATAATACATAATATATTATGAGATAACACGTTTTTTGTATACATGTGTTGGTATACTTCTACAATTATTTATTTTCATATCCATGTATATAGTATTATTATGGAGTTAAAATTTTATTAAGTAAAGATTATTTAAAATATTTATAGGTACATATTAATTCATTCATAAATTAATGATTATAACTATACAGTTTAAATTCAAAATTGCATAAGAAGTTTAATGTTTTACTTTATAAGAAAAATAATAATTTGTAATATAATATTATTACATTTTTAGGTGTATGTTGGTGTTTTGCCCAAAGATTTTTTGCGTTTAGATGTGGTTGCACTAGATGAATCTGAGTCTAGATTACAACAAGAAGCTGCCGATCAACAAGCTGCTATGGCACTACAACAGTCTATGGGATGTATACAAGGAGATCGTGATAGAAATAGATTAAATATTTCAATTGTACAAGCACGGCTTGTTAAAAATTACGGTTTAACCAGAATGGATCCATATGTACGACTTAGGGTAGGACATTGTGTGTATGAAACACAGACAGACCCTAATGGTGGTAAAACTCCCAAATGGCATAAAACTGTTCAAACGTAATACAATTTCATATTAAAGTAATTCTAAAGAAAACAATTTTAGATTTAATATCTTTTTTAGACTTCCGCAAGAAGGTGTTAATCAAATTCACATAGAAATATTTGATGAGTGTTCTTTTAAAATGGATGCACTTATTGCTTGGACATCAATACCAATTCCTGCCCAAGTTTATAAAGGAGTCACAATTGAACAGTGGTACAATTTATCTGGAAAACAAGGACCTAACAATGAAGGAACTATTAACATAATTATAAGTTATGGAGTAAGTGTTTAATTTTTAATATTTTATTTATGAAAATAATATCTGTTTGATTTAAAATATAAAGATTCCGCCTAGTTTGGGTGTACCAAGTTCATTCATGATGCTACCACAAATGCCGAAATACAACAATTCAAGTGCTAATTTAACTCCTATTTACATTCAACCTACAGCACCTCAAGTTCCAGCTCTTAATGCTGAAGATTTGAAACAAGTAAATATAATATAAGTACCTAAATTTAAAACATATATTATTTTATATTATTTTTCCTTCATAGATTCAAGATATGTTCCCAAATATGAATAAAGAGACAGTGAAAGCTGTTTTTGAAGCCAATAACGGTAACAAAGATCTTACCGTTAATTCGTTACTTCAATTGGCTGACTAGATTTTAATTACATTATTAAATTTATTAATATTATTATATTTGTGCCATTCAATATCAACATTTTGGCGACATTATCAAAAGGTACCTGGAAATTACAATTGCCTATGGTCATGATTTATTAATTTGAATAGTTATTTTTTAAAATTAATAATAATTTAATTTTTGCACTTATTGGCTGTAATACATGAATAATGTTTACCAAGTACTAAAAATAATTTAATTAGTCCTAAATACAATTCAATCTCTGAATTTTAAATAAATAAAGTATCTCAGTAAATAAATATATTAGTTGAGGATTTATCCATGATAACATTTATAACCCCTATTTTTTTGTTCTATTCTGTTATGGATATTCTATTTTAATATTAAACATTTAAAAATTGTATCTATTTTAAAATAACATATTTTAGTTTTTTATCAATAATAATTTTATATTTAGTTTTAATAAAAACTTACACATTCCGAAATTAAAAATAATATTTGTATACTGGAATTGATAAACTAAATTTGTGATAATTGTATAGTCTTTGCTAAATAGAATAAATAAATTATTTATGCAGAAGTTCCAAAATTAGCTATGAATAATTTTTGAAACAATTACCTTTAAATAACCATAAACTATATTTATTTTTATTTAAATACCAGCTTTGATTTGCACCATTTCAAAATATATATATATATATATATATATATGTGTGTTCATGTGTTTCAAAATATTATAAGTAGTAAATTTATAAACTAAATTATTTATCATATACGAAAGGAGACCACCCAATAATACAACTCAATACCTATAACATGTTATATTTAAATAATATTATTTGAACCATTATTTTTTTCTAAATTCAGTCATATCCATTATCCATGTACCTATGTAAATATGTAATTAAGAACGAACATTATCATGGTTTCCACAGCTTCTAGAAACCTGAAATAGTTTGGGAATTTATTTGAAATTTTGGAATTTCTATTTTCATAACATTAATTATTCATAATTTGAATATTAGATAGTATTATTCTTATCATCTATGCCAAACAAATATTATTAATTATTTGATAATTTATAAAAATTTCAACACTTACTATTTATTTACTTTAAAATTTAATAAAAAAAATCAAGGAAAATTTAAAATGGATTTTCGTGGCATTGTAGATTGACATTAATTATTTAATGTGGAGTAAGTGATGAAATTTTGATGAATGTGTGAGAATATAAGTAGTTAACTCTTTTTTTGTAGGATGAAGGCAGTGCTTGAAATGGATTGTAGTATTAGATTTCCATCCATTCCAGTTAGTCAATAACTAAAATTTAAAAGTCCTATATAGTAAAAATATTGAAAGAAACTAAAGAAAATATTAATTTAGTTGTAAGATATGTTCCCAACAGTGTCACAATCAAGGAGATTAAAATTTGTAACAATTATGTTAACATTAAAATTAAATTTCCATAGCCACCGCCATTCTTTTTTGTGTCATATAAAACGAAGTGTTTGGATTGGAAATGTATCAGTACAACAATTAAACTCGTTACCGCTGTCATTGACGATAACATAATTAAATTAAAGACAATGGAAAGCCTAAAAAAACAATCATTATTTGTTAATATAACCTCTGTATACCTCCTTAACAACAGATCCTATAAAATTGGTAAATGTATCTAATAATTTTGATTCTTAAAACTTACATAGTCAACACTTTTTTAGTATGTGATTTGCTTCATTTGGTGTATATGTGTAGGTATAATTGTGACTTGTTTTTTTTTTTTTTTTTAAATAATATATACCTATTCTTATGAGTTTGTTTGCATTATATTGGATCGGTCAACAAACTAAAACGGAAAAACCTAATAAAAATTTCATTAGAATGGGGTATGTATGATGTACTATAATATACATCTAAATTTGCTGGAAAAAATCAGTATAAGTTTTTATTCATCATAGTTAATATTTTAAGTTATAATTTAATAAATAATTATGCGTGTAAAAGCAGTGTTATATTCGGTTTATTGAAAAATACTTACCCTTTTTATATCAATTCTAGAACGAGCAAACAAGGAAAGTCTAATTATTAGTATATTATAGGCATATCTGTGTATGATATATTAATTTTATAAGTATCCCAGTTCATACAAGTTTCCATTTTGAGCACTGGATGAAGGTGAAAAGAAAGAAAATAATTATTATGCGATTAATACAGAACTATAAAATAATGGTTAATATCTTCACATTAGGTACATGGATTAAGTATTAATAAGTAATAGTGTAAACACAGTATCCTGGTCAAATGTAATTAACTCTATTTATATATTATCTGTAAAATATTTAAATAAACTCCATATTATACAGAAATAGAAGTACAACACAAATTTAGAAAAAAAGATAAAATATATTTTTCAGCCTTATTCCACTGGTCAGAATAAATCCAAGAAAACTATCAAGATGATATTTGTTGAAAAAATTAAATTATTACATCTTATGTGTAAGTCAAAAAAATAGCATTATTATTTATTATCTACAAAACTAAACTAATGTTTTATAAATGAGATAAATTATTTCTTAAAATGTTAAATGTATATTTTTTTAAATTTTAATATGTTTATTGCCAAGGTTATTTCAAGTTCACAGTTTATAGTAAATATTTTAAAAAGTGAACATTTTTGTTCTAGTACAAAAAATGTTTAAAAGAAATCAATTTGAGTTAAATTTTTAAAATTCCATGTTACCAACAAATATATAGCTAACATATTGCTCAATTAAATTTATTTATTTTTTCAATGGATTTTTTCTCATGTTACACCTCAACAATACAGTTATGCTTATTTACCAGTGATGTAGTACTGATTAAAATATATTTTGTAATATTTTTACTGTACAACTTGATTTATTCTCTGAACTTCAGTATTCTATATATTATAAATATGATTACTATCACTTAAAAAACAATGAATACAAATTATAAATTTACTTTATCTTTTATTCCATTGTACGTTATATTTAATTTTTATAGTTAAGTTAACTAAATTTGTTATTAGTTTATTATTGTAATTTAATGGGCTTTAATATGTAATCATACAACTAAATATTTAAGGTTGAACACATATATAGCACCAGTTAATAAAGTTTTATTGAATTAAAATAAAATGTTTGTTAATTTTTTGAAATATTTTATTACAAAGATTAACTTAGTTCAGTCAACACATACAGTATATAAAACAAAATAGGCAATTCTATAATTAAATATAATGAAAACACTCAAATTTTATAATATATATGTATATTATATAATATATAACATCAAAAAAGGAATAATATTTAAATAAATAACGTCAAAAAAAAAAAATAATATAAATAACAAAACATTGTTAAAGTCGTTAAAGGTTAACTTAAAACTCAATAAATAGATCAATAATATAATAGGTATTAGATAGTTTAAATAATTACAATAACCAAAGTTATTGGCAGTTATTATTGCTTGCAGCCATTCGTGCTGCTAAATCTGCAAACTTAGCAGTGTAGTCCACACTATTTTCACTCATAAGACATTGAAATTGAGCTTCTACCTATTTTAACAATTTTAATTAAACCAACAATATAATTATTTGATTACATTAAAATTATTAATGAAATTTTTTAATCAAAAAAATATATTGAAATGGTTATAATAAATATAATTCAAAAAAGTATTTATTCAACTTTTCCTAATAACTTACATCATTTGAAATAACTTTTTGATCATCATTCTTCGTTAATTCAGTTGTTGGCTCTAGGTGACCCAAGAAACTACTCAATGAAAAGTCCATCTAAAATAACAGATTGTATTATTTAATTATTAAAAATAATAATAAGCAATCTGGATCTTAATAATTTATTATAATATTAAATTTAATTAATATTTATTAATAATTATCGAGAACAATTATAATTTGACATACATCTGGATTCATCCACTGATTGCCGTCATCCTTCAAAAGTCTAGAAGGACTAGTGGATGGTGTTGTTAGATTAACAGAAGTTGAACTATTACAGCTTGTCAATAAACCAGAGAAATTAGATGTGGAGAGTTCACTCATGGACGTCAGTGGTATGTCCATTATTAATCTATTGATGGCCGATGAAGTGATACTTACATCGTCAGGAATATCTTCATCTGGGGGTTCCCAGTCTTCTAAAAAAAAATTGTTTAAATTATTAAGTTTTAATTTTTTATTAATAAAATATTCAATTGTTGAACACATTAACTGCGTACCAACACCAATTGGTAATATGAGCAACGCGTTTGACGCCATTTTGGTGTCCATTATACATTTGATGTAAATTGTTTATTATTTCCTCCGCGTTGCTGAATACTTGATTATTAGTTAGTGCGATTAAATGGGTATTTTAAAAAATGTATTAAATGTATAACCACAAGAGAGCAGTTTTTTGTTATTTTTAAAAGACTGGTTTTTTCCTTTTAACGCTATTGTTCAATTGTTGTTTATACATAAAACTTATTCTTTTATCACTGTGATGTCACTGTGTTTAAAAAATGGGATAAGAAATAGTGAAAGTTGAATATATAGTTGAAACCTGTGAAAGTTTACAAGTTAAAACTTGAAAGAAATATATTTTATGTGTTATTAAATAGGTATAAAAACTATTTTCTTTGTTTCAAAATTAAATTTGATGAAAAAAAAAAATACGCAAGTACTGGAGTGTTAACTTCAAAAACATGTCTGCAGTCAATGTGTTAAATATTTTATGCACATCATATAAATTTATGTATATTCAGGAATTTTTTGAGCGAGTAGCGACTTCTCCAATTACATTTAGCAATTAAATTTGCTCGCTCACTAGTCACGCACAAGCATTCATGTGATATACATGTGACAAGAAGTTGTCATTGATATAGATAATTCATTCGTTTCCTGACCAGTCATTACTAGCTGACACACTAACGATTTTGCCAGCTAGGGCAATTACATATAGAGTGATTTTACTCGCTGGAATGTAAAAACGCCAGCGACTAGCGAATAAAATAGCGCGGCCATCAACTTTAATCGCGGGCGAGTAGCAAGTATTCAACATGTGGCGAGTAAGCGACTAGAACGATTACATTGAGCGACTTTAGTTGCAGTGAGTAAAATCGCTCAGTGTAATCGTGGCTTACCTAACAACCTACCTCAGAAATCAAAGTTATAATAGGTAATTAAAGGAAATAGAAGAAGAAAAATGTATATAAATCAAGAACCTATATGAGAAGGGCCCATAGGGAAATGCCCGGTAATCCGGCGGGCCAATTTGCGCCTGTGTACATTATAATATGACAGGCTTCTAACATAATTACATATAAAATGCTAATTAAAGTAAGGGCTATTATGAAATAAAAATCTACATCTAAATTGAGGTGTCATAAGTCTAATATTGACATTTTGATTTACTAACATTGATTGATTGTTAAAGAAAATTACATTTTTCCATTTAAACAAAACGCAATTAAATGAGAATTGTACAAACTTTTTGGTGAAAGTAAGACTTGATCTACTTTATCAATATCACATTGAACAATCTCAACATTTTGATTTTGTTCAGATTTAATTGCTGGTACAATGGGCCTGAAGTTAGATGTTTGCACAATAGTCAAACTGGTCTTTGGTTGTAATGGTAAAAGTTTTTGAACAATGCCTACATGTTTATTACCAGGTCGACCTGTTCGATTACAATACCTTGGTTGAAGTTTCTAAAAACATGAATTTTAAATGTTTATTTATTAATTAAATTCAAAAATGAATCTGTACAAATAACAAACTTACATCAAGTTGAGCTTTAAATGAACCAGTTGAATGTAAAGGTTTTGGCTGCATGGGTCGTCGAAATACAGAAGATGGATGAACCATAACTTTACAGCCACTAACTAATGAATATGCACCATGCTGATTTTGATCTACATCCATTTTACTCTAATTATAACAATAAAAACAAATGTATTTATGGTTTTATTAGATAATAATAATATAATTGAGTATATAATTTAACCTCCGTTTGTCTCGTCAAACTATGTGGTTTATTATTTGCAGAACCACAAGTACAACCCTAGAAATTCCATAAAACATTAGGTTAACTAAATTTATGTCGAAAATAAAAATTATATTTAAAAAAATGTTACTTTAGAAGTAGTTAAACTATTAAACTGAGCAATCGAGATGAGTTTATTGAGTGATTGGGATAATCTATTTTGACTGGTAGCTTCAACACAATCTTCAAACCAATACTCAAGTTGTATTTTGGACTCACTACCACACTAAAAAAAAAAAAAATCAACTATAATTACATGTACAAATATATTATACATTAAGGATATTATAAATTATATTAAAATAATATTACTATGAGATAAAGTTCTCCAATTTTAATAGATTCAACATTAGCTAATGTCCATCCTTGTTTCACTCTAGCAATAAATTCTTCCTTTTTTTCTTTTTCTTGATCATGTGATGAAATAACTGGATCATTTTTCGGAGGACTTGACAAGAGTATATCCAATCCTTTTTCTCCCTCATAAGGTGCATCTATTACTGTTGAGAACATTGTAGGAAGGCATGTGGTTAAACTACTATCTTGATTTCCTGATGAACCAGATGCTAAATTAATAGTTTCTGTGCGCACCCGTTTGACATATGGTTTTTGTACTTTGGTAGAAGGAACCTAAAAAAACAATGTTTTATACACCTACAATAAATGTACAATATAGAAAATTTGTAATATTACCTTTTGAAGGATAGACTCAACAGATTCTTTGGAAATTCCATGAGTATTTCTATGTGCTAATAAACTAACATTTGTATTTTCAATATCGTGGAAATTTACACTGATAGGAGTAATATTAACTCCAGTAGCTGGTGCTACTCTTAAGATTCTTTTAGATTCTTGATCAACTTCAGTTTGTGTTTTAACTCTGTGTATCTGTTCACGCTAAAAATTTAATGTTTCAGGAAATTTAATTGAAATACAAATTATGTTACAAAAATAAAGATTTTTTTTTAGTTTATATTATATGAACAGTCGAGTGAACATTTTAACTAAGTTACAAATTAAAAGGATACAAGTTTTCTATTTTCTGTTTGCCATCTATTTTCTAAATATCCCAAAAGCATTGATAATGGTTTTTGTAACTCAAGTGTTGCTCTAATACGAGGATTCATTGCTAGTGACTGCACTAAAGCCCATGTATCCATATCACGTGGCCTCAATTCCACACTCACTTTACCAGGTAGTTTTAAGTCTCCTATAGTATCTGAAAAAAATATAAAATACAAATTGTATTACAACACTTGCATCAAACTATAATTAAAAATATTTAAACAACTATTATACCTTCAAGAAAATTGAGCTTCCTCAGAGCTCGACAATGTGGTGTTTTAACTTTCCACAGTTTGCCTTTGCTTCTAACTTTAGTTGAACCATGATAAATCATTTCATACAATTTAGACCAGTTTTTATCATTAGAAAATCCTATTCTTCGTTTAAGTTCACCATAATTAATTAGTCCATAGAGTTCTTGTACTACTTTTTGCATTTCTACAAAAATGCAACAAAGTAAATACATTGTATACATTATTCTAATAGGTAGAGTAATTTACCTTTGGGAAATTCTATATATTTGGAAATTTTGTGCCACATTCGATAGTAAAAATACCTTAATTGTTCTTTACTCTTAACAGCTTGTTCACAAGAACCTCCTTTACGTTTAGCTCTGTTAACCATAAACCATTGGATGGATTCAAAATCTTTCCCAAATTCATTTAAACCGTCAAAAAATGAATTAGTATCCTCGGCTGACCATAACTCGCGTTTAATTTTCGAAGACTTGAAAACCGGAGTAGCATCGTTCGAGTCTGAACAAATACATAAATAAATATAATTTAAACACCTACTCTGTGATATGTAGGCAATTCACAAACCTATTTTAGGGAAACTGGGTCCAGGTGAAGTAGACGCCGGTGTCATACGTAACTTTTTAGAAACTCTAGCACTTGTCCTTAACAACACACCCTTTTCAGAGATCACTGTTGGAGCATCGAGCTCCAGATTACAATCTTCTTGTTTGATCTTTTCGTCCATAATATTATCGTGACGTCAATGACCAAAAACCTAAGTGTAAATTATGTTTTGACCCAGTTAGACAAATAACCTGGATTAATTATGCGGCAGTAAAAACAGAAAAAATAAAAAAAATAAAACGCATTAGTAATCATTACCCAGGACGTTGATCGTCTCGACAGTCGTTGAACACCAGCTCATGTCGAGCTCACTATTCGGTGAACGGGTTTAGTCGGAATGGTCAGTGAGCTTTCAGTCGGCCGAAACCAATTAGTACCATAGTGAAAATCCTCAGGATACGCAAACGAAATCCAGCCGCGAAAGGGGACGGCCAATCGTGAATATTCAACTGATTCTGGAGGAACGAAAACTTAGGGGAAAATGAAATAGTAATCGCACAATTACACTAATAGTTTTTACATGCATAGAATTTTTCCGTATGAAAAATAATAACAGAAAAATCACTCTAATCAAACGGACACACAACAACTACAAACATGGCGAATTTACTGTTATCATTTAAAAAATTTACAACGGCGCTTCGACGAGTTCGACTGTGATGGTAGTGCGAGAAGAAGGGGAAGAAAATAACGTGAATACAATAGTAATGATAATAATATAATGGAAGAGGTGGCGCACGGGAAAAGCTCACTCAAAGAGAGACGCAACACGGAAAGTGCGAAGGCGTCTCACGCTCACTGTGGATGACGCGTCGCTTGTCCACACTTGGTTTTTCACGAGACCTTTTTTCTTTTTTCTAATTGGGTCAAGTTTTAAAGCGGATAACGTAGGTAAAGGAAAAAGTTAGTAGTAGTGGGCCTATATACATTGAGCCCGAACATATATACAGAGTGCTTGAGCAGAGCAAAATCGTCCAATGTCTTTTCAAAACACGCTTTCGACTTTGTAGGATGCATAAAAATAGGTGTAGGTACCTTGTATATAAATATACTTGGAGATTCGCCTCGCACCGGTAAGACGGTATATTATTTGCAACTTGCAAGGATCTTTATTTTGCGAGTAGATATATACTACGTGCCTAAATCCACGCCCACGTTTATTCGAATATTGGCGCCAAAATGTATGTTTTTTTTCTTTTTCTATACCTAACACAAGAATCCCAAAGAGATCCCCGTACCATATAATAATATATGTATCACTTACAAAATGTTGCTACATCCATAGTTAATAAATTATAATACTAGAATAATTCATGATGTTTTGCAATTTGTATACCATATAGTATAATATACAGTGTGTCCACTGTCCACATTAAAGGTTGCACGGGCTAATTTCTCAAAGTACAGGATATTTGTCGAATTGGGGGACACGAAAGTGCACATTTTAAGCCACTTAATAAAAATTGTTACCTATTGTGGTAAACGTATGGCTCAATAAAATTTACCTACGTTTTTGAAATGGTAACACCTAATCTTATTTTTTTTAACCAACACAATTTTATCTCGGAAATTGTCCAAGTTACTTACTATTGTTTTTTCCATAAAACAAATAGGTATTAGAGTTCCAAATTTTAAAAGATTCTCTTTAAAAAAGTAACGTAGCGATCCATATGAAGTATACAAAGAAAAATCAAAAAGTTAAACAAATGTAAAATCACAAAACAGAAATTTTAAATTTGTTGAAAAATCGAGAGAAAATCGTACTTATATAGTCTAAAGCTATCTGCGATCAAATTAAATAGCTGTACCACAGAATAACGCTGTATTTCAGACAACAAGTAGAAACAATTAAATTATCCACAACTCACATGAGAAAAATAAAAATAGGAGTTGATATTTAAATAAACGTGTAAGTTCTATGGTAAAATGTACGTGTGCGTAGGGCTAGACAATTCGTTAAAAACGTATACCTATATCTATCTATCTCTTCAAACATCCATAATTCGAAATAAGTCCAACCGGCAAAAATATTCAGTCCTGGACACACTCTTGGACAACTGCAGCATAGGTAGGATTGCCAGTCGTCCTCCATTGGGCCGGTCAGGTCAACAATAAATAGATTAATCCTACGTCCATAAACGCTTTAAGCTTTGTGTGAGACAATCCTACATTTCAATACATTTTGGTAGGTACTACTTACGTCATAGTTTAAGATGTATAAAAAATGTTTTATTGTTTTTAATTTGTGTTTCCTTCTATTAGTTTTATATACCACCGTATTATTTTAAGGTATTTATAATATATATATATATATTTTTTTTTATTTAAGGTTGTTTCTGATTACATTATTATTTCCAATTATTATTTATATTTCGTATTATTACGTTACATGTTTGTTACAGAAAAGAATTTTAAATAAAGCCAAGAAAAGTGTGTTAATATGTGCTATTGTTTTTTTTTTTTTTTTTTTTGTGTTATTCTGTTTTAATAATATATATATATATATATAATTATGTACATTTAAATTTCGGTTTAATAGTAAAAATATTGTTCTTCCCTAAAACTAAACTTTTTTAAAAAATATTTGTCTTGCCATTGCCAACGGAAGGAGGGGAGGGGAAGGGTATTTTAAAGGAAAAACCAAAATTTAATTAGTAAATTATAATAAATAAAATTAAACTCTTTTTTTCTTCTTTTTTTTGGGGAGGGAAGGTCTCAGCAAAACCAGATTGTGTTAGCATTATCTAACATCACTATACGTATAATATCAAGTGGTGTTAATTTATAATTATAATATCTAACTTCTATCTATATAAATATGAAATTTTATTTTTTTGTAACGGGTAATATCCGAAACTTCTGGACCCTTTTAGGTACAATTTTTTTGCAGACTGGCCCAAGTTGTCTAGAGAAGATTTAAAGCTATTGAAATCCTCGATCTGTCCAGTAAAAGTTAAACTATAAATAATAGATATCTATAACTTGCAGTAGTTTGGGAAATATTCAAAATAATAATTTAAGGTATTTTTATAATTGCTTAGTATCCATATTATAATAATTAATTAATTAATTAATATAAGTTTGAAAATAAAATGTATTTTTAAAAAAATAATTATAACAACGGTTATAACTGCATTCGAAGTGACGGGGATTGAAACAGGGAATCCGAGGATAAAAAATTTTTATTACACATTTGTTTGGCACGGCCAACGCCCGTTACAAACATTTTAAGACATTCCGTAATAATGTTCTGAAGACTAAGAAATTAAAACTAAGTATTGATGGACTTATAATGCAGAGAAGGGGTCACCTGTGCCAAACAAATTATAACCACCAGGAAACTTTATTTCGATCTGCAGCACGCCATCTACGCGAATCATTTATAACAATGATCGCATTTTGTCAACATTTCCAGTTAAGCTGTTGGAGAAATACAATAAAAGCATTTCAATTAAGCTGGGTAAACTATACAGTGTACACATACAAACTTCGCACGATCGAAACCGGGTAATAAGTAGGCAATCATTATAAATTATACGGCTTACTTACGATGTAACTGATTTTGCATAAACGGATAATAATAATAGACGCGTGTAACATTAGCGATGGCAATTGTATTAATAAATGTTGCGCTTCGATCGAGAAATATTTATTTATATCTAGGACAAATTAAGCAGTCTAGTTACGTGCTTATTTCAATTATTATTACTCTTGACTGTATAATAATATACGACGATGTCTCTCGAAATTCGCATTTCTACAACAATAATAAAGTTGGATAAAATACAATATCTATACGGCTATACAGGCTACAATATTAGATAGATAGGTATATACTTAGTACTTGCATAACGATATTATTATAACGTTCACAGTTAATGGTAGGTGTAATTTAAAAAATTGTATTGCATATATTTTCATTTAGTGTTATAATATTATATATTTTGTATCGTAGAATAGAATTCCATTTATGATTCAGTTTAAAATGATTTATACCTATAGGTATAGTTGGTTAATGATTATATACCACACGGTTTTGCAATGATGATGAAAATTAGGTAATTAGCAATCAAATAAATAATTAAAATAATTAATATCAACCGAGGCAGTATCATAATAAATTAGGCAGTCACGCACTGAACTGCCTACGGTCTAGTAGGCAAAATTATAGTGTTCTTCGCTTCATTCAGAATCTAAAATATTTCAGCCGAACGTATTTCAGAAACGAAACGCCCGAAACTCTATTGATTATCAACTTGTAAATTTCTTATCATTATTTTTAATCAGAAAAGGTTGAATTAGAAAATATTATATAGTTATTTTTAATACAAATTTGAAAAAACGTGCACATTTTGAGTTGTAATTCCGACTAAATTTTGAACAAACAAAAAATAATTGAGAGGACATTATACTCACATTTATTGATTCAGTCCAACTATGTAGCGACATAAAAACAAAGCTTACGCAGACTAAGTAAAACTATCTTAATTTTGATTTCAGAGTAAAAGTATTATGTAATTTATGGGGAGCAATATTTTGGAGTGAATGCCCTAGGTGTTTTTAAAATTACGGACTGTTAAAAAAACAAAAAAAAAACAAAATGCATTTTTTATCTTTTATATCGAGCTATAAATTTTGAATAATATATAAACCCTACAACATTCCTACTTATTCTGTGTAAGTATTGTTTTTAAATATTACCCGGTAATTTGATTGAGACAATATGTGCGGTTATAAAGTCCTGCTAAACGAAAAAATTTTGAATAATTTTGATGATGAAAATGTACATATTATACGTATATTATTTAAATAAATATTAACTATTATTATTTTTAATTTAAACCATTTTAAGTATTTAAATAATTGAAGTGTAAACATCCACTTATATAATATGTTGGATTTATTGTAAAAATTAAACAAATATATTTTCTAATTAACTTTATTGATTAAAAATTCAAATAACATAGAAATCGGTTACTTAGAGGCATCTGCTTAATTTGGATGATAATTAATCAATACAATATTTGCCAAGTCTCTTAATCATCAAATATGTTGAAGGTTTAAATAGATTAAGGTAATGTTATTAATTATCAGGTATATACTAATTTATAAATAGTAACTTCATTAATAGTTTTAACAGTACCAAATCAATCACAAATTACTCGTGTACCTTTGAGAAACATATTTATTAAGGCATAAATTGGGACACTCTTTTCAAATTCTTAGTTGTTACTTGTCTATCTTAATATTATTATTACAGTTAATTATTAGAATTTCATGATTGTAGAAAATATATTATTTAGAGCTTACAAAAACATTAAAATAGAGGTATATAGGATTAATAAAACAAAATAGAGAAGCTATAATGTACTTAAATATGTGTCTCACATTAGCCCTGTTGCCTGCCCACCTAATTGAATAAGGCTTTCGAGAAATAAAAGTGGTAATGCCTAGATTTTTACATATTTTTCAAGGTAAATTTTATTACCATTAATATTATTTATTTTTTTTTACATAAATAATAGTATAAAAACAATAGCTATGATAATTACTTGATTTTTTTAGTTTTTAGCTTTTGGAGAAAGGTCTAGAATGTTTTTCCATGTACCAATAACCTCGGCACATTAATAATCATTCCATTCTACACTTACACAAACATTTCAAGCGACACATCCAAATTTATGGCAAATGTTGGATGAGTATAATTAGATGTATAGTTAAATGTATAATGTAATGTGGTTTTGTTTATTTAATATATTATATTGATTTTTATTCATAGAATTAATAATTTATAAATAATTATTATTTTATTTTTGTTAGTTGAATTTATTTACAATTTGAATGTTTTAAAATATGTCTTGTTCTATTAGTTAATAATCCGTATGCTGTGATGGAGGAAGAAATTTTCATTTAATAATATTATTGATTTATAACTTTTTTGTCCATCCATATCTCGATTGTTTTCTGTTTTAGCTTTTCACATAATAGGATCAACAATTATCAATGTGTATATTGCACCAGACTATAACTGTTCCGGATCATGTCAGGATCGAAAAATTTTGATAATTTTTTAAAACATTATTGTTATTGTTAGAATAGGCAAATACGATAATCAGTAAAAAAACACCAAGGAAAAAAAAAGAACAATTTTAAAATTTTATATATATTTATTATTAATAATATTATATTACTTATTTATTAATTATGAAAATTAAAAAAATGTTTGTTTAGTAAAAATTTTAAAAATATTTGTGAAAAAAAAGGTACTATCAAAAAAGTTAAAACTTCAAAATAATAAGTGGTTGTGAAATATTTTTCATTTATTGAAATTACCTATGAAGACCTTTTCATACTTTCATGCTATTATTTGAGTGAACTAAATTTAGTCTGTCAAAAGTGTCAGTGTTTTAGTGTTATAATATATCAATTTTTTTTTTCTAATGTAATAATCAATTATTATATTCAAAATTTTAAAATTGTTCTTTTTTGCAGGATTCAGCAAATACTATACACTATATAGAATATTATGAAATATTTCACAAACATTTAAATCATCATACCTTCCAATCCGTGCCCTAGTTTCCTTATGCGACTTGTGTAGATTCTTATTGTATACAGTGTAGGACCATAAATGTCATTGTCATATAAACTTTTATTAGGTACTTTACCAATGGCCTTTATATTAGACCAAAAACATATTCATATTATATATTTTTGAGTTAAGCTAAAGTGTATAGAATTATCTTTTATTTATAGAATAGTTTGGATTAGAATTAACTTTATGGGATACTTTACTGCCATCTAGTGTTATAAACATGGCTAGTGGGGGCTTTCGGCTTTCACAATATTACCTACTCTTTTAATCTCTGGGGTATAGGCAAATCGAAATCCTAACTTTACAATCGTTGTATTCTGTGTTATATCTAATTTCCTGCTTCGAAATGCATTGTGCATTTGTGTTTAGCATGCTTCTATTTGCAACTGTGCTCAAAATCTAATATTCAAATATTGTAATACCTATATATTAGATGGGTTGTTTGAATGGCTGTTTGAGCCACGATCAAAATGGTATAGCCATCTCTCATAACACAAATTGGCTAATTTGGCTGCTGCTCAGAGGCAACACAAAAACCGAAAGAAAGTCGGGAAATCATTATCATTGCTCGTTACAAAAGTTTTTTTTGCGAGATGCAGATATAAAATAATAAATTACCATTACTAATTAACTATATGGAGAACAATAATTTTTTCAGTTTTTAAGTAACAACAATATTATGTATGCATACCATTTTCAAAAATCTGAACCCCAAACAATAACTCTTTAGTATATGATTTTGATACGTATTTTAATCGTAAAATTGTTATAGTAATTTTTCCAAAAAGCACGGGTTTATATTAATTATTGAGCTGAAAAATAAACATTTTCATTAGATGAACGAATAATATTTTAAGTCTCAAAATGTTCTTTGAAAACGAATATTATGTACTTCACAGATATAAATTTAATCTTATTTTTTTTGCCCATGATAGTTCTTAAATAATGTTTCTAATACTTACATTTAAACATGTAAAAAATTGTGAATTTAGTGATTTTATGAGAGACCAGCTGTCCACGATCTCGCAAAAGAGTTTGGTTAAATAGGCAATGGCTAAGGTAAAAATAATTGTTTAAGCAACCAGATAGTTCATACAACACCAATAACACAATTAATACCACTTTGGTCGGTAAGGCAATGCACCTAATATATATCCATGATTATAAAACAAAGATGTATTATCGAATTTACCACATAATTGAGAAATAATTTATAATATTTTATAGTTAAATATTATAATACTTGATTATTTGAGTATGTCTCACAATTTTATGTTTATACATTATACAATTATTTGTATACTAATCTATATCAATATTAATAATTTAATTATTATAATCATCACATAAGTAATGTGTAATTTTTTTTTAATAGTTTATAGTAGAAATAGTACAGAATAAGTTATTTGTAAGTAATAATGTGAAAAATCTAAGAATACAAAAATATTGTCTTTAAATATACTTAAAAATTTCCAAAATTAGAATTTGCATACATACACAATTTACCCCTAAAATAGAAAGAGCATACTTAATGAATCGGCCTCTATATATTTGTTATCATTAATTTATATCATATATAATATTTTATTCAAAGTAAAATTACATGTAAAAATTCAGAAAATAAGTGTTAAAAATCAAGTGGACAGACCAGTTATTGAACCCGAGTCTTTGCATTAAGTCAATAATATGTAACTCTTTATAGGTGTCATAACAATTTATTTTAATTATACATTGTTAATTTAGGTACTTATGATTTCATTAAAATTTTTATAAATAATATTTTAATAGATCAACTATAATTAATGACTATTGAGTACATTGCTTAATTCTTCATCAAATCTGAATAATGAGTATTTACAATTAAATAACTATAGAAGCTCCACAATTAACACAAGAATTATGAACACAAATAGTATGATAATTTCATTAAATTTACATTTAATAATACAAATACAACTTATACAAATATGGGAAACTAAGTATAAAATTCAGTCAAATCATTATTGCAATACCACATACTTACATAAATAGTCAAATCATTTATTTCAAGACCATAGAAAAAAAGGTAAGGGAATCTTGATAGCTTTCAATAGAATTTTTGTTGTAAACAGTGTATCTACCTCAAAACTAACAATTAAATCAATCAATAATCAAGACGTTGGGAGGGAGAGCTATTTAGTTTGCATTATTTTAAACAATAATATATTATTAATTTATTTACAGGAAACTGTACATACATAAAATTAATTAATTATATTTATTTTCTAAGTAAACTACCTCCCTGAAATAAACTTTCTAATGCTTTTTGAACATTAGGTTCTTTAAGAATACTAGATGAATCTTTTTCAGTTTGAATAGTTTCAATTGGCAGTTGAGGTTGAGCATTAGAAGAAAGAGATGTATTCAATATATTTAATATACGATTTTGTAATTGAGCTGCTTGAGGATTTTGAACAGTAGTTGCCGCTGGAAGAATTGGAACATCTGTAACAACTATTATTTTTTAATTTTACAAAAAATACAGTGATTATTTTTTTTTTTTATTAAAATTATAAAAATATTACTTGGCTTAAACTCAGGTACTGCACCAACTTCTTCTTTAATATGTTCTTCCTTTTTTTCTTTTAAATATTGAAGTATCTTTATTAAAAAAAATAATAGTTTAAATTATTTTTTATAATTTCTGATTGATAAAAAATAAATAAATAGAGTACTAAGATTAATTAGTTTAGATTTTTTTTTTTTTGAAAATTACAGACAAAAAAAAATGAATGTACCCTAAGATATCAACTAATTATAATTAATGCATAATGAATTTTTTTTAACTTTGTTTAGAGGAATTTAATTAAAATATATTTTTATTATTAGAATATTTGAGTTAAAACTTTTTTACATTTTGTTAAATTTAAAATTTAACTATAAAGAGGAAAATGATTCAATTTTGACAAACAACTAATTCTAAATATTATTTAATTATATATCATGCAATTTAGTATTGTTCTTATAATATCCAGTAAAGTAGTGTTTTTCAACCACTTGGATGTAACACACCAGTGTGTCATTTAGTATATTAAATGATACAAACTATTAAAAGAGAACATAGCAGCAACAATAAAGAACAAGTATATATACCAGGACATATATGATGAGCACAAGACCAGATATTTAAGAAGCTAAATAATATATGCTTTATGAAGTAGAATGTTCAAGACAAAGGCGAGTTAACAGTTGGGAGTGATTTTTAATTAAAGGGGTAATCAATGACGGAAAATAATGAAAATGTGGTAATTATGGCAAAGGGCTTAAATTAGTTAAAAGACCTATAATAGGCAATAGAAAAAAAAATTCATTATAGTAGTTTTATATTCTGAACTTGTTTTTGAAATAATAATTTATTAAAAAAAAATAAATTAAATATATGACCAACCCCAAATAGTTGGGATGAAGGTGAAAGAAAAGAAGAAATTCAATATACACTAATACTATCATAAACTTTTTGTCAAAATGCTGTTCTTACCATATCATATTGAAGTACTGTAAGATCTCTTTGATCTTTTAATAAACTCAATATTGTATCGATTCCTTCAGGGTGTTTTTCACCTAAAGGTATACCACATTCAGATATCGGAATGCCAGAAATACCAGGTAAAGGAGTCATTTTTTCTCCTCTTATATATGCTTCAAAACTATGAACAATAAACGCCAATGCATCTTTATAAGGCATATTCCTGTGTTCTGAAATGAAAATATTAGTATATAATAAACATGAATATTTTTCTATTTGTAAGAATATTTAAACAACAATATTAGGTAATTGAAGAATTTATTACCTTCTGGTATACCATGAAGTATATCAACAGTGACACTCCTATATGATTTGTTTTCATTTCGTACAACTAAAACATATAATGTTCCTCTTTGAGCTAGAGTTCCAAGAACACGATTAATTGGTATATCTGGATTAGGAAATAATAAATCAACTTTCATATTCATTTTCTTCAGGTTAACTTCTAAAAATTCTGCATATTCACTAAAATGGAAAAAAATATATTTAAAAAATTGGTACCATATAAGATTTAAAAAACTTACGTTAAAGAACTATTTGTGACAACAATTTCACAATCATTTGGAGCATTTGGATTCATCAAGTTGGGATTTATTATTTGTCGGGTTGGTTTAAAATCATCACTGAAAATGTTAATAATAATTATAAAAATTAAATAAGTATAAATGTACATAGTTAAATTTTTTTTAGATAAGTAATAATAAATATAAATCAATATCTCTTTGAATACTACAAACTGTAACTAACTCATTAAGAGAAAATAACACATTTTTTAAATATCTAATATCATCTAAGTACTATTTAACAGATAGAAGACATGTTATATTATGTAATTTGTTGTGGACATAAGTATGTCACCAATGTCCTATATTATGATACATAATAGCATATTAGGAGTACAAATACTTGATTACGTTTAGAGTTCTTTAATTTATGATTTATTATTATAATGAAAAAAGTAAAAACTATTTACTTACAAATCTCTCTGTTGGTTTCTGTCATTTCTGAAATCACCAATAGATTATTATTTTATCTAATCTTTAATAGATATAATATAATAAGATTAGATTTCAATAATATTCCAAGTCCTAATTCATTACTGTAAATTAATAAATCAAATATTACATAAAATACCTTTTATCATTTACATCAAAATTAGCTGCTCTTTCATTTTTCACCAATTCTCCATTTCTATAAAAAAATGGTCTTACTGGTTTTACATCTGAAAAAATTATGATAATGAATCTGTATAACTGTAATTTTGTTAACATTTGTTAAAGATTGTAGCAAATTGGGTACTTGATCACCTGATGCTTTATAGGGGCCCAAATGGATTTTCTTGGGGACAGTGTGGCTACCTTAGACATTATCAAATTTACAATACACACAAAGCAAAGAGAATTTGTAATACTATCCAGTGCTACAGTATTTTTTTTACAGTTTGCATGAGTGTTTCTTTTTTGTCCGGAGGTCCTTTAAGTTGTTTAACACGGATCGGTATCCATTCATAAATATTGTCTAAGTGTCTAAATTTGTGATATGTATTAAATAGCAGGATTATCAGTAGTTGACCAAGTGGATGATATGAATTAAATGAAAGAGGAGGCCTAAAATTGTATAAACTCAGATGAGAGGGTTATTGGAGAAAATTAAATCAAGAAACGAGTCTTGTAACATTAGAATATTATTGAATTGATAAAAAATAAGTAGGTATAGCATACTTGTTTCCAATTACTAAACTTTATCAGTAATGCAGTCAGTGATATTGGGACCAGAAGTACTGTCTGCAATTTACTATACATTGGGTAGATCAAGTCCCCCCCCACAAAAAAAAAATGTGTATACCAAGTTTTTTGCTCATAATATAATCTGGTGGATTTTGACTCAATGCTTTAAGTGCTGATGATTCTTCTACAAACTGAACAAATACATGTCTGGTTTGCAGTGAAACATCTAAAAAATATTAATAACATTTATTAGTAGTACATTAAATGGCAATTTCTAGTTACACTACAAGGCATAAATGCAATTTAGCTCCCAAGCAATTTTTTGTGATTTCTTTTTTCAAAATGTGTTTTTGCATAATCAATTTTATGGTACTTACAAAAAAATTCAAAATAATTCAATAAAATTGTATTAATGGATATGTGCAGAGATATTGAGATTATTCCAAAACTTCACATCTAAAAATTACATTTTAAAACTTAATTAAAAATACTATACCCTCAAATATGTATGTATACATTGAATAACTATAATAATGATTAATAAGCAAGTAAAAAAAAAAAAAATAATAGTATTAATAAACTGCATTTTTCTAAAGGTAAAATGTGATGTTTATGTTTATAAGGAAAAATACATTTTTCCATAAGTCAAACTTATCTCTCTATGTAATTGTGAGTTTAACATATATATGAATAAAGTGTTTCTTTATCATTCTTTCCTGGAGAATTAGAGATTGCTCAACATACCACTGTGGACTGGATAAATTTTCACAGTTAAGTTGTATTCAGTGAGATGATAATACATCATGTAAACATTGGTAGTTATTGCTTTTGAAATTTAATAATATGTTATATTTAAATATAAAGATTAGCAGTAGATAATAAGTTGAGATTGATGAATCAAAAATTTTCAAAGTGCCAATACCACAAAGGACATGCAGTTGAGGGTCAATAGATATTTGTCCGTTGTTTTCGCCTATTTCTTCTAAATCAACAAATATTAATTAGTTTTGATAAGTTACACCAAAAAATCAATTTTAAGTTACCTACTTTAATACATAAATGTTTAAAATAACTTTATAATTAAGTATGGCGTGGTTTATTAACAATAATATAAAAGTAAGTACGATAAATACATTTTGATAACACCAAAATGTTTTGTATAAAAATACTAACAATTACAATAAAAGATTTTTGGTATTAGACTCAAAAAGACAATTTTTCTAAAAAATTAACATTTTGAAGTTTATTGACCATAACTTCCAAATGAGTTTGTGCAACTTTTCCTGAAAATACCATAAAATTGAGCATGCAAAAACACATTTTGACAAAAAAATTGCTTGGAAACCAAACTACATTTGTTAAGCCATTTAAATTAAATCTATATATATTGTAAATAGAAAAACATTACAAGTCATAGACTTACTATCAATTTCTCCGTATTTATGAAATACGGATACAACTTCCTTGCGAGACATACCAGCTTGCGGTATGTTTGCCACATATATGCGAGCTCTGGCTTTTAGTTCATGTTCAGCTTGATTTCTCGGCCTGTTCATATTGTAAGTTTACAGTTTCAAAAATTGAGTCTTTAATGACAATAACTTCAAAGTTAATTATCAACTAGAAAATAAAATGCTTATAACTGATATGGAAGTGAATTTGTGGGACCAGTACAAAAATGACATACTCAACATGAATTTACTCAAGTTGTACATTTGTTAATTAACGATGGGAATCGTGCATTATTAGTATAGCAGTTAAATCAAATAAATTATTGACTATTGACCATAGAATAAAGATATTATTGACTATTAACCAATCATCAAGATTGCAAATGCGGAAAGTGTCGCCATATAGTCCACACGTAACTACTGTGCTAGTGTGTGATTAACGCGTTGTGGCTTGACTGTTCAGCGCTTTCGACCAATGGGGTGCTATGACACGAGCCAAGAGGACCGGCCCCGTATTCAGTATTTTATGGGTCCTATACTCTCAATTAATTTTCTACCACATTATTTTCTCGGTTTTTTGCTTGAACGCCCCATAGATGTTAGGCGAAAGTCGATTTGTATTTTGTTTTGATTTCATTCATTCACGATCTGTGGAGTTGTGCGTTCACTGTTAGCTTATTACGCTGCCCCGTGATTTACGAAAGGTTTTCTCGTTATTCAGATCAACGATTTAATAACAAATAGAATTTAAATTTAAACAATCAGCGTTTAAACAGTGAGTACTTATAATTTTTTACTCGTTTTGAAAAAAAATCACTAAGTACCAAAAGTACCTATTCCAATTTTTTTTTTAAATAAAATATTTGTTTAGTCCTTTTTTTTACTATTTAGGTATCTCACAAATAACATTGTTAGGGTCGTCTATATATTTTTACAATATTAACATTTGGCATTATTAGGTATTTTTAATAAATCATATTCCAAACACATTCTATATATCATAATCATTATCTAACGCCGTTTGCGATTAATTCCCGCTTTGTGAATGATTAGTATTCATTCATTTTTTTATAGGCTCACTTGTGAAAAAACCGGTTTCCGTTTGTTCATAAAGGGGCATAAAAAACCGCTGATACGGTTTCCCGTTATGTTCTGTTGGGGTATGAAGAGGAGGCTACCTAAAATTGTGTTAGTGTGTTAATGTAATTGCAAACATTGTGTGATTGTGAGTGTGACTATATGTTTATAATATGTAGTCATATAGAACGTCATGAGTGTGCATTGTGCAGTATCATTGTGAAAAATAGATAATACCTAATATTCTTTTATTGTTATATATTTTCAAATTTATTTGCAGGTGTTGTCGAGTGTTTTTAATTAGATCAGTCACCAAAGCAAACATGTCCGGGGAAAAGAAAGCTTTTAGGCGCTTACCAAAATCTGTAAAGCCTATATTATATGATTTATATTTGAAACCCGATTTGGAAAAATTCACATTTGAAGGCAAAGAAACTGTGTCTATTAATGTGAGTACCATATTACCTATTGTATTGTATTTACTTCTTTTTTTTCATGCATATATTGTAGCTTTACATTTATTGTTTAAATGCTATTAGTTATAATCAAGTTACTTTCCCTTAAACCCTTCAATAATATCCTCAAACTCCATTCTCTTCTCAATACCAACTCCGAATACGTTATTAATATTATTATTATGTCTTTTATCATGAAGTCTGGTTTTATAATCTAGTCTTAAAACAATTTAAATTCTATATATATTATGTATTGTAAATTTTAATTGTTTTAGTAGTTTTGACTAATACCCGATAAAAAAAAAAATCCAGTTACTTTATTAAGTAATGGTACTTATCAGATTAAAGCAAATATTAACGGTAATAGTTTTTTTCACAAATGATTGTATTTTGAATAAGATTTTTAATAGATTACTTGGTAGGTAGGTACTTCTAAAAAATGTAATCTTATATCAAAACTAAATATCTATTTATACAAGTATCAAATATTTATTTAGAACATAAGTTTTTTTGATTGAACAATCTTGTATTGTCAGTAAACATGAGTAAAGTTCATAATTTTTATGTAAAAAAATAATAATTTATTATTACATACATTTTTTGGTTGAAAAAATAAATTGATTTTATATAAATAATGTTATATTTGAAACAAAATAAGAAAGTTAGAGTACCAGGGTAGAGTATTATTATTTGGTAAAACCACTAAAACTGAAAAATAAATACAAGCTAGATATTACCTCTCAGATAAACACGAATAGACTTAATTTTCAAATATTTTTAGTATTGTGTTTTATAGTAAGTACCTATCTTTCTGGAAGATACTATGCTGGTTAGTGAGGCATCAATTTTTTGAATCTAAATACCTTTTTTATTATGTCATACTAGCATAGATATTATATATCTTAACATTAACTATACACTATTTACTCCATAATAATGATAATACTGGCAGTGTATATGAATCTGGAAATTATTTGATTGGAACTGCATTTTTCAGTAAAATCTTGAATCGTATTAATTGAAAATAATTGTTGGTTTTTAAAATATGTTACTTCATATAGTATCTAGTACATTTTCAAATCACATTTTTTTTACCTGTGATCTAACTACAATATTTATTCATAATAAATTTATCTGGATTTTTTCATTTGAAATTTTGATATAAGCCTGCAAAGCAAGTGAGTGGTTGCTAAAAGCATGCTAACGAAGTAATTGAATACTTGTTAAAGATAGAAAGTATTAAACTTTTAAATACATTTTTCTGCTTTAATATTCCTGGTTCTACCTTCTAAGATTTTACTTTTTGGACTTTTACAGCTTTTACATTTTTATATTTCCTAAATGTATGTACAGGGAATTGCACAATATTTAGAGATAAATAAATATTAGTTCACATTATACCAATAATACATTTATTGTAAATATTCTGGAAATTTAAATTTCTTTAAACACTACATATAATGCAGATTAATTATTGATTATTCATCTAGTTGGCACATTCCACAAATAATTAACTCTAAATTTAAACTGTAAAATAGAGTTTTTTTTAAGAAAATAGAGGATTAAATGCATATTTGAAGGTTTTTAGTGTATATAGATCAAACCCTAGGTATTTATTATTAAAATAAAGTTGTATACAAAAGAAATTCTTTGTGTATTTTAAACATCAACAAAAAGACAATAGGTCATTGTGAATCATGTTTTTGTTTGTAATAATATTTTTGTCTAACCTTGTAAATATGGGTGCATACTTGTTGGTTCTCAAGATTAAGCAGATAATAATTTTGTATGTATAAATTTGTTCCTTGTCTTCAGAATTACTACCCTATGGACCCTAATCAAATCATAACATGTATCATAGCCAAATAGGTTTATTACTAATAGTCTACCAATTATTGCAAGTGCCAATATAGTAGGTAAATCAATTTAAAAGTGGCACCCAAAATTATTAACAGTAATCTTAAATTAAATATCTAAACAATTGGCAGCTAAAAATAATTTTCATAATCAAAGTATAGCAAAATAGCTATTATTTTTACCAAGGTTTTTTTTTTGAGAATAATATTATCACATTTTTGTTGAGTAAAATAATTGGATTATTCACCTTGGATCAACCTGATCTTAAGTCATCGGAGTGGTCTGGTCCTCCAGGTTGGGGGTTTAGTGCAGGGCTAACGCCCCTGCCTAGTAAATAATCTTCTGTTCAGTATCTAATAAACATAAAAATGCCTCGGATAAGTGGAGCTTTGGTGTATACTTGTATATAGGTATTTGTTTGTGTATTTTTTGTGGCCCAAAATGTTTTGCTACTGGTTTTTTTTTGGTACCTAGGTGTTATATATTCAAATTTTGATTTAAATCGAAAAAATCACAGAATTTAGCATACTTTTTTTTAGTTAATGTAAATTACATTGTTTTGGCTCCGTACAAAGTGTCAAAAATTTGACACTAGTTCAACTTCCGTTGTACTTAATAGTATAAAAGAGTTTCAAGTTCAAATTTTGACAAACATTTTAAAAATCACTAGAAATACAATTTTCTAATGTAGGAATGTGGAAAATGTTCATAGTTCTACAAAAATTTTAATTAATTTGAGTTGAAAAACTAGGACAATTGTAATTTATTTTGTAAGCTCATAATCATTTTTCTTTAGCAATGATTTATCATTGTGTATAGATATAAACTAAATTTGCATGTATTCCTAACTTCCCTCTAACAACAGTGACGCACCCATAGTCTGGACTGTGAAGTATATCTATTTAATCTTAATAATAACTTGTTTTTAAATATCATAACCAGATTTTTTTAGATATGGTATAATTTAGAAACTATTTGTTTTGTTATTTTATTTATTGAAAGATATTTTTAATTACCTAGATTTTAAAGTTTTTTTTTTTGATATATGTGCATAAAATTTTGGTTTACCAAAAAGTTAAAAAATTGCCAAATATTTATCTCTTCATTGCAGGTGTAACAGCTTTATATAGGTACTATAAACACAATAGTATGATAATTTATATTTAAAAAAAATTGGGTACTTATCTATTAATTTTGATTATAACATGACGTGATGTATATTTGGTTTTTATACTCGTGTTCAATGTCCACAGTTCGATGTATTTAATTAACTACTCAACTACAATCATATACAATATGTTTTAGTAACCTATATATACACAAATATAATATATTATGATCTAGTGTAATAATGAAACTAAAGTATGCTAAATGCTCATGAATCATGATACTCTACAATTGTGTATACATTTTATTCACTAATTTCCAAAATTAATTTACTTGGTAATATACTATCGTTATATTACTTAATTTGTATACTTATAGGTATTATTCATTAATGTAATTAAGTATTCTTAATTCATATAAAATATAATTTAAGTACCTAAAGCAGCTTAATACTTTTTTAGTAAATTGAAATAGGAACATATTTTTAATATTATTCAATGTTTAAAAACTTTATATTAAACATGATACAGTGGATTAATATTGTAGATAACGGTTGGCATGCCATAGGTTTCCTATGTGATTTTTGACTTCATTACATGGAATTTCATACAGAATGTATGTAGGTATAAACAAAATAAACTCTTTTCATAGCCCAAAATTTTTGGTTTTAAAATGAGCAGTCAAAAAATGATTATAAATCTGTACAAATTTGTATTAATAGATAATAAATTAAACAAAAATCCTTTATTGTAAAATGTTTTTACATAGTAATTATTACAATATTTTGTTGGAAATTTCATTAGTAATTACCAGGGTAATTTTTTCTAAAATAAAAATCAAAAATTACTGGTAAATAGTAAAAGGTATATATTAGTATTTATTATTAGATATGTTAATGTCAGTAATCACACATTTTAGATGATTGCCATTAAAATTCAAAATAATATAATCATTATCCTGTGCTGAGGTAAACAAAGAAAAACAAGTGGCTAACACTAGAATCATTGCCCCACTTTAGAATATACAGTTATATTTTAAACTGGTTTTTTTTATTTGATAGGCCTACCTATATTATACCTAAGGAGAAAGATAACCGGTTCTTTTACGAAATCTATATAATGACTGACTATTGTTTTGAAAAAATGTCCGATACTATTAGTTCTTTTATAAAGATTAAGGTTGTTTAGTAATGAATCAAGTTGTAACTTAGCAAAAAAATATTGTTTTAGATTCAGAGCGTAGCAAGGAATGTATTGGTTTTACTATGTGTAAGATATATTTTTTCTATCTGTAAACAACTTTTCTACCAAAAATCTTGCTCTAATCAAAAGTCGACAAGAGTATTTTGCATCCACTTGGTGCATTGTGGTAAGTATTTTTTGTGTTGTAGTTTTCATAAAAATTGAGAAAATACCTAGGAAAAACAACACTGATAGTTTCATTATTTTCAATAACGTTTTCTTGTTAAAAAAAAAAATTACGTGTACAGATATTTGATTGGTTCCCAGTTTTTTTTTTTTTTACAAATTTATCTAATCTATTCTATTAATATTATTAATGTATCATATAATTTGAATAATGAGTAAACAATAGAAAATTTTGAATATAGTACGAGATTAATAGATTCCTAGTTATCGCTCTATAACTGAAACAACTGGCATTCAATTGTATGGGATGAGATGCATGGCCAGTTCTACTTTGCTATAATGAGTATGTTATTATTATAGTATATTATTTTTATAACGATTTGGTTATGAGGTCATGTGGAAGATATCACCTAATGGCTTTAGATTCTATTAGGGGTGACTGTATGTTTTTTTTTTCGTCGATATTTCGATATGATATTTTATACCGGTATGAGTCGATATTTTCGTTGTTTCGGTATTATCGGTAAAAATGTATTAATTTTTTATGTTTTTAACTGTTTTAATTTCTTGTTTTCTTGATTAATATTAATTAAAAGATAATGTTGAACATAATTCTAGTTTTTATTTAATAAATGGTCTATGTTCGATATTTTTGAGCAAGATTTCTAAGAGAAAAAGTATTTACAACATAAAATAATAAATAAACATCATTGTAAAACCAATACATTCCTCGCTACGCTTTGAATTTAAAATGCTATTTGATTGAATCAAGTTTAAAAAGATAACTGTACTATTTATTGGCATGCGATATTTGGTTGACACTTAAAGAATTTCTTAAAATCTAAGTAAATGATATGGAAATATTAGAATCATTTTAAATTTAATCCAAAATTAATTTATTAACTTGCGTATACATTGTGTATGCATAAATAAATAAATAAATAAATTTAGAGTACTACATAGATAAAAATATGAGTTTTTCAGCGTGCTCTATTCATAATAAACTTCCCTGTATCAGTATCGATTTAGCTATAATATTTAATATTCTCGATGGGAATTTTGTACAATTTAAAAATAGATTAATTAATAATTGATTATGCCTCATTGTATTTATAATATACTTGATATTATTATTATGTTCAATGTACAGTACGGTATACCGGTAAAACCGTCAACTCTATATTCTATATTTGGATATCTTTCTATATCAAACTATAGCTGGTTTTGACGTAACAAATTATGATTTTCGGAAGCAGACGCTTCTGAATTTTATAGGGTGGGTAGGTGTTTTTTTATAAAATTTGAATTATTGGAGGGATATTAAACGTATATTTTACATAACGAGGCGTTCCAGTTTAACTATTTACATTTTTTCAAACAATGTTTTTTACCAGAAATCTTGCTCCAATTGAAAAATAAAAAGAGATCAATTTTGTTCCTTTAAATATACAGGGTAATTTTTTTTTCATCATGAACCAGCAATTATCTCAGGATTTTAAGTGAATTTAATTTCTGTTTTTTCTTATCACAATGGAATCGTTTAAACTTTATTTTAAACCATTTTTAATTTTTTTCCCTTACTCCATATACCTTATATAAGTACATACTTTTGGTTTTTAAATAGGTATAATCAAACAGAAAAATAAAAGAACCAAATTTACTTAAAAAACTCCGAGATAATTGCTGGCTAATGATAAAAAAATCATCGTGTGTAATCATTGACGAATAAAGTAGTTTTTTTTATCTAAATTAATGTTTAATTAATTGGGATAAACCAAAAAAAAAAACGATTTTTTTTTTTTCAAATTACGACACTAGGATTCCTTTATTTTAAATTTATACGGCTTGTTTTCTTCTAAAAATATTGCTCCAAAAGAAAACCAAGAAAAGATATTTTTCATTGCATTTTAAATTTAGTTAGTGACTAAGAAAATCTTTTTTTTATAATTGAACAAAACCAAAAATACGTTGAAAATTTCTGAAAATAATTCTTTTAAAGTTTTACATTTTTTTATTTCAACGCAAAGTGTCAATTGGAGTATTTTAACTCATTAAAGAATATAGGATTATTTTTTTTTTTAGATATTTTTGAGCTATTTTTAGACTATAATTTTTCGAGTTTTTTACGTAATTTGTATTTGATAGATACTATGTGGATACATTAATTGTAAACACCAAATAAAAAATGCTTGCCAATTTGACAGGAGGTTCATTATAATTCTTACTTCTTGATAAAAAAGAAAAATTAAGTAATGTAGTTTTTTTTTTCAAAAGAATTTTAAATTCTAATGTTGACAAAAATCGTAAATATTTCGGCTTTTCAAAAAATTGTGTAACTGAACTTTCGCTCTAAATCGTTTTTGTTACAAATGGTTTATCGTTGGTTAAGTATAGTTGTAAGTTAAATAACTATATATTTCATCTTTTCAACTACCTACTTACAACAGTGGCCGCAGCCGTCTTCAGTATCAGCTTTTTTATTGTTATTTTTTAATGTAGTTCAATTTTTTTTTTTTATTCATATTTTAAACGTATCACTTATTAATTTTTTTTGGAAATGTATACATATTTGATATTAAAGGTTTTCTTGAGCTATTCATTATACACTTGCAGTAGCGTGACCAGAAATTTACAATGGGAGGGTATTGTAATGGTATATACAGTATGTAACAAATAAAAATCGTGAAAAAGAGTAAAATCGTCTGTTCTACTCAACTTGAACATGGGAATTATTAATTTAAAAGCCGCATCCTAAAAAAAAGTCAATTTCTAATCATACTTCAAGCTTTTTCTTGAAAATCGGCCGAAATTTATGAGTTTTGAATATGTTGATATTAGATTACTTATATTTTGTTGTGTTTTTAAGCCAATGGGAGGATATAACCCCTAACCCCTCCCTCTGGGTACGCCACTGATACACTTGTGTCGATACCTAATTTGCATAATACAAAAAAATATAATACTCTTATGTGAGTTAATTAAGTAAACTAAAATTTAAAACTGTTTTTACTTCGTAGAGTTTGGATTATTATCACCGAGACATCGTTTATATCACGATTATATTATTATACAATCGTGGCCTATATATATTAATACATATCATATTAACATATGTACCTTGTATTTTAATTAAAATGTGAAAAGCTGAAGGATTGCATTATTGCAATAATATATTTTGGTAATTTATTATTTTATTATTGACTGACGAAGTCATATCAACAATAAATAATTTTTAGACAATATTATCATTAATATAACGTGAGTTTCTTCTTTTTTTTTTTTTGATCGTAATAGGAGGAATAGAATTTTGCGTTCACATTCCTCATAAATACGAACTCTCCCGTTCTTCTTATATTTGAAAAGAAACGTGTTCCAGCTTCGTTTCTATGAAAAAAACGCGTTCCTTCTTTTCAACACTGGCCTTGGAACACGAGAATTCTTATCTAAATATCCGAAAAGTGAGGTACTAGCACGATTTTGTAATTAGTCATACCAAGTTGTCCAATCGACTTTAACGTAAATCGCATGGTTAGCCGCAAATTTGAATTATTTGTTTCAGTTTAAACTGATAACACTCGCCTCTAAGGTACCCTTTTCTAAGGTAAACCTATCTATTTTATAATATAATTAACGATCCGTATACTATAGAAATTAATTGTTTTATAAATATAACTTAGCTAGGATAACTATTAATTATTTCTTTTTCTGTAAATTATTAATTTCCAAAAAACATAGAACCAAAATACTCCTGGCTAAGTTATACCTATTTAATTTATTTTATATAAAATTGTTTCATATAATTTTTGTAAAATTCATATATTGTGCGAACATCAATTATAGACATGATGATAATTTAAGGAATATAATTTTATGAAATTACATTGCACTAATGTATAATCAATTTGCAAGACCATTTTTCAGTAAATTCTTATTTAGAATTATACAGTTATTGAAAACCGGTTTTATTATTAATAACACGCATGTAGGATAACAAACCCTAATATCCATTTATTTTAAGTCTCACACATTGTGTGACACATACAAACAAGAAATTGCCTATACTTGACTCCTATGAAATGGTCGGTATCCAATCTTCATAAAAGTTTATTATCCTTAGTAGGTATTGAAAATAGAATAACTCAGAAACTTTTCGTGAAAATTCCGATTTCAATATGTTTGGACAACTCTTCTTTTCCGTATTAATAGAAAAATTGTAAAATTACCAATATTGTACTGCACACTAAGGCTAAGCGCATACGGTGCAACTGTTTTGTGACAAAACTTGAAAATCAGTTAAGTTTAAAACCAGTATGAAACTTTTATCCGCATACGAACAGGATTGATTTTGGATCAGTTGGTGTCAATCTATTTGAGCAGTGCAGTTGGTGTTTTGGTATTTTGTAATGTCGCATTCAGATTAATAGCGTTTTCTACCTAATCTCACAGTGTAACAACTGGTAGGTACCGTATGAGTTTCGCGAGTGTTTGCTGTCAGTGCAGTTAAATCAGTACTTTGTTAGAACACAAAACATCGGTATCTACCGAAAACTATTATTGTTTACTTCTTATCAGAGTTATGGTCTCATGGATAATGACTGCTAAAAGTCTAAAGTATATTCACACTTTACACTATTTTAATTGTTGTAAACTAGTTATTTAATACTTGATCATGAAGACAACAACTCTAAAACCATTTGTAATTTACGAACTTTTTCTATATTGTTCACAAATTACAATTCATATTCCATACTATTCAGTATACAATATTCATTCCAAAATAACGTATACTATCAGGTATTATAAATATTATCTTATCAATAGAAATCTTAAAACCGTGTCAAATATCTCGTGCGCCAGTTCTGCACTTAGTGCGAAAATCTAGTTCCAAGGTCTGAGATGAAACAGAAAATCCGGGCCAGTGGAAAATAATTTTGGAGTTGGAACACTTTTTCTATTTTCGATGCGCACTAAGTTCAATATTTCAGATAGGTGGAAAACGCTATCGGATGGAAAAGATATCATTGATTATAATCAATACCATAAGCTACGCAGGGTACAAAGGGATCATAGGATTCATCCATAGGTACTTAGGATAAAATGCAAAGTTAAAGTTTTGTTCTTGGTCATTGATGGTCACAAAAAATAACAAACAGAATACGAAAAAGATAACAAATAGGTACACGTGCACAATGTACTCTTATATACTCGTAGTTCATGACTGCAACTTATAATTACAACGCAACTACGACCGCGGAAAACGATTGCGTGCGACCGATTTCAAACTGATGCAAACTTATCTCATTTTGATGGCCTTGTGTGCTGATGCCGAAGCTATACCCTGCAAGACCACGCATGTGCAACTGATTTGTGATTTGCAACTTTTTTCGAAAAACAGTTGCACCTTGTGCACTTGGCCTAAGAAGAACTTTATCGGTTTAGTATTTGGTATTATTATTTATAAAAATAATTCGATAAAAAAAAAAAAATAATAATAATTTATGCATTCATAACGTTAGTTGTAGTTTTATGTGAACTAACAAATAAACACTATGCCATAAAAAAACTTATGAAGAACCTTGTATAAAATTTCCAAACTTTTTGAGAAGCCAAAATTATTGTCTAAATAAAAACTAAATAATTAACTGGTATGATACTATGGTATGAACCATAATAAAACTGACAAATTTACGGCGTTACGATTTCGTTAATTTCAATTTGTGCAGTTTGTTTTCTAACAGCGCTCCAATAAAAAAATGATAAGAGATTTTTTTGTTGAATTTTTAATCGAGTTGTCGACCTAGAAATTTGTTTTTTATTTTATTTGTACTTTTTTAAATACTTAAGCAAAACCTTAAACTACTTATAAAAAAACAAGTAGAAACAACGGGAAAGTTTACGGAAATAATTATTTTATCCTTTTAATTCGGTTTTTAATGTAACGCATGATATTTAAAACTCATCTGTCTAAATTTTTATAAATGTGACCTTTTTGTTCGGTATTTAAATAATATACCCGGACTTTGTCCACATTTTTGTAAATGTGCCTTTTTTCCGAACTTTAACCGTTTACCTCGAATACCATTGGTTTTATCACTAATAGCTTTAAATATCATTTTTTCCTTACATCTGTTTTGTAGTGGAGTAGAAAACGCATTTGGTCATTAATATTTTCAAAAGTTCCAAGGTAGACTTTTTTGTTTGGTTCAAAAAATGTCTAATGTAAACTAATTTTCTATTAAGTAAGATCTCTTTACTATGTCTTCAAATAAAAACCGCACAACTTTAATTTTACAATATTTCTATGATAAATAGCTCTTCTCTGTAAATCAATCTCCTCTTCGTTAATTTTGTAGTATCTTATTACAAAATTTCATGACCGTTAGTTATTCCTTTAAGAATATGAATTATTTACATTTAACCCATTTGGAAATCGACAACTAGTGTGTTATTTCTTTTTATGGTCATGATGTTATCAATTAATTAATTAAATTTAATTGTTGACATTTCGTTTCAAATGTTTAGTTTAATTTTTAATTTAAATTCAATTTAAGTACATGATTTATTCAAACTTTTTGATAGTTTTGGTTGAATAAGAAATAAGTCCTCAACTATTGAAATATGTTGCCATCGATTGTCTAGAGTTTGTAACTGTACCAAAATAGTTCAATATTAATTTCTGGCTGATGGTGGCTAATACAGAATTTGTGTTTAAAGATGCAGTTTTAATTTATTTGCTTTATCAATTTCTGTTGGAGAATATTTCTAAATAAACTTTATTGTCATAATGTTCAAATGTTGAAAAAAGACGAAATTTAACGATTTTTACATGGTTTTTTTGATATACAACAATATAATTATTTGTTATAACTATCATTATTGATTGTAAATAATTATAATCATGGTTATCGATAGAATACATAACGACACAGTAATATAATATATATAGCTTACATAAAACCTCAATTTTATAAAGTATGATAAAATGGTATTTTGATGTCATTTATCATAATATACCACCTGTAGTTACCCCATTAGTTGGTTTGTTCGGTAAAACAAAATCCTATTGTATTGATAAATATAAATACCAATATAATTATTTTTTTGATTTTTCATGATTTTTTAAATTTTTATTAATAATTAGTCGGGCAAAAAACTTTGATGTTTTTCTATTGGAACAATATTCCTAGTAAAAAACATAAGGTAATCATTAGGTAATCATAAGGTAATTTTAATCATATTAAAATGATTACACCGGGACTTTACATTGCCGTAAATACGATTCAGTTTTAAATTTTTGTTTTTTCCCAATTATTAGGAAAACTACTTTGGATATCGAAAAACGACTTATTCTGTCAATCTCAAAGTATTAAAAGAAACAAAAGCGATCTCTTCTTGTTTATCTATTGGATCAATATTTATGGTAGAAAACAAGCCGTACAAATTTAAAATAATTTGATCGTTATGCTGAAAAAAATAGTATATTTATTTTTTTATTTTTCATAATTATTCTAGTTATTATAAAAAAAATACTTTAGATATCAAGAAACCATTTACTCTGTTAGTGATTATGTGTTGATAGGAACAAAATTGATATCTTGTTATTTTTCAATTTGTGTAATATTTCTGGTAGAAAATATAAACTGAGCGTGTTAAAAAAAAATTAGCCGGGACACCATGCTCCCGTAAATATTAACCAATTTTAATTTTTTGGTTTTTCCCAATTATTTGAAAAACTACTTTAGATACTTATTATGGATCTCCTATAAAATTTTCAAGTATTTCTATTAAGTCTAAGAATTTATTTAGTGAGTACCTACCAAATAAAAATTACTTAAAAAAACTCGCAAAAGTTTTGAAAGTTATATTACGTCTAAAAAAAGTAAATATAATTTTTTTTATCTACTTTTAATGTCTCTACAAATATTTTAAACTAAGTTAAATTTTAAAAAAACAATATTTAAAATAATAAAATAATTTTTTTTCCGTAAATTTTCTCGTATTTTTCGATTTTACTTTATTATTAAAAAACCGTTTAACTTGATAATGAACTAGCATAAAAATAAAACAAAAAAGATCAACTGTCGTTTATCTATTGGTGAAATATTTATAGTAGAAAATATCAGTTAAACATAATAATAACAATGAAAATGATAACGCTGTTAATATTTGTCGTTCTACCTACAATTTTCTTTCGAGTTTTTCCCAATTATTTTGAAAATCTCTGGGAAAATCAATAAATAACCTCCCCAATACAACTACTAGATCCAAAATGCAACAAAAACGATCTTTTGTCATTTTTAAATTGGATCGAGATTTTTGGTCGATATGTTTTCCACACTCGGAAAATAAAATCGCATCTTATTGTAAAACCAATAGATCCCTGGCTATGCTTAGAATCTAAAACACATTAGAGATCTATTGTCTAAGTATATGAAATAATCGCAGAGATCGAAGTCCAATCAGATTTGCTGACGAAAACTAAAATATCTGTTTACAGTTTTTAACTCGTATTTAAACAAATCATAAAGTTTTTCTTATGATATATTAATATAACAAATAAAATATTATTTACAAAGAATGAGATATAAAAATACAATGCTACTGGGATGTATACTGTGTATGTAAATGAGCTGATACCAAATAGTTTGAAATAATTGACAAAAAACAATTTAATAGTTATGTTAATGAGAAAACGTCCATTCAAATTTTTTTTGTAAGTTTGTTTAATACGACATTCAACTAGTTTGATAATATTGAATTGTTATAAAATATTAATTATAATTATTTAAAAATATTATTTTACTATAAAACTATTATATTGAGTTTATGATTATCTGGGTCAAGGATACTCTTAGTTTATTTGAAGAAAGATGATATGAGCTTATAATGTAATATGGTGCACTCAACAAAGAAATACAAAATGTAATATTCCTATAGAAAAGTCGTTGCTCATCGATTGCATAGGTGTCCGTTGTATTATGTGTAGTGTGTACACAATAACATAACTGTACCACGGCGGCTCCCCATGCATACTCAGTTCACTTTTGTGTTATATACGTATAACTGTACTTTATAAACAGTTATAAGTTGATAGATTCGTCCAAAAAGTACACCTGTGGCAGAGTTATTTTCAAATTTAATACACTCGTGTTTTGTTGTACTTTATTTTAAAACAAACAATCAGTAATTTAATTATTACAATAAGCATGTTGGCGAAAATATATTTGTTATTAGTAGAGCTTGGATTTTGGTGACATTTTTTTTCATTAAGTGCTATACAGTTCTAACGAAAAACAAAATTTGTTTCGTGATATAACCATTTAGAATATGTAATTTTTATTTTGCATTTTTTTTGCATTTTTCATGTTAAATGCATTTTATTACATATTTAAGGTCGTTTTTACAAATGTTACGTTAATTTTAAGTGTTTAAACTAATATTTGTTTATTTTAAATTTGTTTAATATGTGTTGTATAGGTAATCTCAATTATTACCTACGGGTTTTCGATAAAATTATTGTTATCTATCGGCGAATCGGGAAAATTTAAACTATATTAATAAAATAATATTAAAAATATTTTAAACTGAGTTGTCAGTGAATTGGGATTCAGCAAAGTGGGTATGAATCGAAAAAGTAATATAGTATATAAATAATTGTCGATTTATCCGATAAGATTAAATATCGAACGAAACCAAAATTATAAAGGTATACAATAGAAGCTTTAGTAGTTAATACAACACGTACCTATGTGATTCTACACCGTTCTTAACTGTACATACTGAACAAATAATATTACGACTAATATTAAAAATTAATATTAAAACTTTAAAAATGCCAAAAATTAAGTCAACGGTAGGAAGCCGTTTACGTAGTTTTGTGAGTGAGTGTGGTGCCGATATTTTTTCTANTAGTGAATACGACACGTACCTATATGGTCCTACACCGATCTTAACTGTACACAATACTGAACAAATAATATTACGACTAATATTAAAACTTTAAAAATCTTAATAATGCCAAAAATTAAGTCAACAGTAGGAAGCCGTTTACGTAGTTTTGTGAGTGAGTTTCGTGCCGATATTTTTTCTACGGCGTTATTATGCTTTTTTGTACATTTTGTAAGGTTGCAGTTGCCTCCTAAAAGAAATTTACAATTTAACAACACATCAGACGAGATAAGCATGCTCGTGGAATTCAACGAAAACTGAATAAAGTGAAACAAAATAACCAAGTACTATTATCTAATTTAACAAATAATAGTGATCAATCGTTATTTAATTTAGAGCTTTGTGAAACGTTATTAGCAACTAATATTCCACTTGCTAAATTAAATAAAACAAATTTTAGAAATTTTTAGAAAAAAATATAAAATTTAAAATCCCAGACGAGTCTACATTGCGTAAAAATTATGTTGAAAAATGCTATTTAAATACAATACGAAATATTAGACACTATAAAGGCGATAAAAAAAAATTGGGTTAGTGTAGATGAAACGACAGATGTTGAAAGCCGTNAAATTAAATAACACAAGTTTTAGAAAATTTTTAGAAAAAAATATAAAATTTAAAATTCCAGATGAGTCTACATTACGTAAAAATTATGTTGAAAAATGCTATTTAAATACAATACAAAATATTAGACACTATGTAGGCGATAAAAAAATTTCGGTTAGTGTAAATGAAACGACAGATATTGAAGGCCGATATGTAGTAAATATGGTTATTGGTACCCTGAAAGCAGAAAATTCAGGAAAAATATTTTTGTTACATTCAGATATTTTGGAAAAAACAAATCATTCAACCATTGCAAAAGCGTTCGATAAAGCCATGTTTACATTATGGCCTGAAGGAATAAAACACGATAATGTCCTCATTTTTGTATTTGATGCTGCCCCATATATGGTGAAAGCAGGAAGAGCCATTTGCATTTTGATTTTTCAGAATAAATATACCAGGAACCGGATACACTCACAATGAAAATATGAATAAACAAATGAACAAACAATAATTAATAATTAATAATAATATTTATTTTAAATTTTTTTTTGCTCATCTAAGTACATTTTTTTAGTGCATTTTTGTGTATTTTTTAGGTCATTAAAATCCTAGCTTTAGTTATTAGCATGCGACGACTCGTGAGAAATTTAGTCACCTAATGGTGAAACTTTAAATCTGTAAATTTAAATGCTACAAACCAACCTACAGGTATGTTATTTATGAAGACTGAACAAACTTCATACAAACTTATTTTACGTGAATAAAGAATATTCAGTGCTTAAATTGGAAAAATAAAAGAAGAGGAACTATGAGAAATGAATCCCTTGAAATTATTGATCTCAACCTAATCCTATGAATAGTAATTAAGTACTTAGTAATTTACAAAAAAAAAAGACATACTAGGATAATGGAGACGGGTGCATCCACTGTTATAGGTAATTTAATGTATCATATGTGTATAAATGCAACAATAAACCATTGCTAACGAAAAAACGATTCTAAGCGCAGTTCAGTTTATAGTAATCCTTTGTCAACAATATATATGTGATATTATAGTAAAATAATTAAATAGGCATTATATATTTTCTTTAATAATATTTGTGTAATATTGTATCGATTTTTCCGTTTTCCCTAGTTTTCCCATATTTTTCCTCGGATTACCACATTTGCTAAGAAAACTTTTGGAAAAATCGAGAAATTACCTCCTTAAAGTACCTTTTCCCAGTCAGATCTACTTTTAGAAAAAGTGCTATTATTATAAATCAAAGCGAATTTCTAGATAGAAAAGTTGTACACAGAAAAAAATAAATGGCCATAATATTTTAAAACTATTACCTAGATTTTGTACTTTTTCCGACATTTTATCCCGGTTTTTTCCAGTTATTATAAAAACCTATTTAAAAATCACAAAAATTATCTCCTTAAATCATAAAGATAAAATTTCCTTTCAGATAATAAGCAGCACTTGATACATGGGAACAAGATTTCTGGTAAAAAAAGTTTACACAACAAAACGAGGGTTCGTACACTTAAACTGCATTTATTTTTTTCTCTAATTAAGTAAAAGGGGAAAAAAAGTACAAAGAATTTTTGTTCAAACACCGAGTTTGAATTCGAAACCCCTAGTATGACAATGCGTATTCATGACCGTTCGACTAAAACAAACTTATAGTAAAATAGACAATATAGATTTATTTAACATAAATATGTAATATCTGCATAATATCTAAACTTCAAAAAGCTATAATTTCGAAATTTAGTCAGTCCGCTCAATTCTGACTTTTTACCATTCTTCTTAAATCGGCAATTCACATATGTTCGAAAAAAAATTGAAAAATTAAATTTGTTCCACATAATTTTTTACTTAAACAATTTTCGTCAAAATGTAGTATCAAAATTCCTTTATAAAAACAAATACTACATTTAAGTAAATTTTTTCTTTTTTTTATCACAAAATAAGATTTAATGAAACTCCTGTTAAACTTTCAAGCATTTCTGTTAAGTCTAACAATTTTATCACAGAGTGTCACTGAATAAATATTACGCACAAAACTTGCAAAATTAAAATGTCTATGAATAGCCCAAAAATGGCTTAAATTTTTGGAAATTTGAACACGTCTAGAAAAGGCAAATATAAGTTTTCTAATTTCAAATTTAAAATCTCTACGAATATTTTTAATTGAATTATAACAAATAATAAAAGCATTAATTTCGTACATTTCCCGTTTTTCTTACGGTTTTATCATGGTTTTTTCCCAGTTAAGAAAACCGCTTGAAAAATCAAAAAATACCATCTAGATAATATTCCTTTTCAGAAATGGTGCCTCGCGTATATATCTAAGCAAGATTTATGGTCGAATTTTAGTACACGGGATAAAAAATAAAAATTAACATCTTAGTAAAACCAATATATTCTTCGCTACACTCAGGATCTATAAAACAGACATGCTTCGCACGACGGATGAGCCACTGTTGGAGGTCTGAAGGTAGGAAGGTAGGATAAAGAGGGAAATTTAATTTATATGTACCTACACGACGATAAAAAATTGTTAATGAAAAATGATTAGAACTGATCAGCGAATATTGGTTACACGTGTTTTGTAACACTTACGAATTTCATCAAAATTTAATGTTAAAATTCATATAAAAAATAAAAAAACTATTATTCATTTTTTTTTTTTTTTCAATATAACCTCATATTGAATATTCCAACATTTTTGTTTGGCTTAATAATTTTTTCCACATAGTATCTACTGAATAAAAATTGTACCACTTTTAGAAAAATCAAATATAAGTTTTCTGTCAAAAAATTGCAAGTCTATAAATATTTTGAACTGAATTAAAACAAAAAGACGAAATTAAAAATAATAAAAACTTTATTTTTGTAAATTAACTTATTTATTAGAAAACTACTTAGGCAAATCAAAAAATAATATTTTTATTCATTAACAAGGACCTCGGGGCAGTTCAAAAACTAAGTCCTCCAATTAATATTAATTATATTAATTAATTATAAAAATATTATCTTGAAGAAAATTTGAATATATCTACACCTAACATTGTTTTTTCAATGGTGAATATTTACTATGGAACTTCAAATAATATGAAATCAATAATGGACCATTATTACAAGTCATAATCAAACAACAATAAATGATTAAACAAATGTCGAATAATAAAGTGAATTTATTACTCTCAAGAAAAAAAATATGTTTAAATGTTTAAACATTAAAATTTCCTCTATATTTGTGATAAATTGTGTTATCAAAATAATAACATGATAAGCTACAAAATGACCTGTTAAGTAATGGCGGATATGTGGGCTCAAAACACGATTTAAGACATATCTTTAAATCATGCTTTAAACGTTTATACTGTGAGTAGGAAATCTATCAATCTAGTTTATCTAAATCTGTGATAACCATTGACCTATTTTAGTATTATCATTGAACAACATACTATTATCTCGTTTGTTCTATGTTCGAGGAAAATGTTTTATGTGATTATGATAAAAATTTCTCGTGCCCTTTATGAACCAGGTACCTATTTAGTAGATTTAACTTCTTTAGTACCTAGTAAATTTATAGTGATTCCCGATTCTATGACGAGTAAAAAATTGCAGGACTTTATGTCATATTTCATGAAAAAAAAAAAGCTAGCAATGATGTTGAATAATGTTAGTTTTGAAAAAGACAAATTACACTTAAACAATGATTGTATTATTTTGTTTTGTTATGATACGTGTTTAATGGGATTGTATTATTGTTTCTTTAGTCAAAGCCCCCCTCGTGGATGTGAGGGATATTAAAATGCTAGGGACTTTTTTTGAGTAGCTAGAGTACTTCTACTTTCTCCAGTCAAGTACTGTGTAAACCAATACATTTCTCACTTACTCTTATCTAAAAAAGTTTACAATGCATCCAAGTTGAAATTCTTTTTGAAAAATGTTTAATTTTATCATTTTTGTAAAAAGAGACTTTCCGGCCCAATTGAAATAATTAGTAAAGGGACGGATTTTTAATTGTATTTTAAACCCAGTTTTATCAAAATTTGAACTTAAAACACTTTTAAAAAACTTTTAAATTAAGCCCAACTAGGACATTTTCAGACAGAAAAAAAAATAATAGTAATAATGATGATGAATAATAAATATATAAATTAGAAATGTATGTATAAAAATAAATAAAAGAATGAATGTATCACCCGGAAGTATTATGATTAATAATGTAATGTAAAAAATTTATTATATGATCGGTTTTAAATTAAAAATTCATCATTAGGTATATCACAGTCAACATGTAAAACGCTATGAATATAATCAACTAACTAGATAAAACTTGCTTACGAAAACCACCTTTTAAGTTGATGATCGGAAAATGATTTTTGGTAGAAAAGTTATTCAGACAAAAAAAAATAAAAACTACACATTACTTGTTACGTTTAGAATCTAAAAGTAGATTCGCTTGTCTACATCTCTCCTCATTTCGAGCACTTAATATTTTATTAATCATATTATACCTAATTATTATAAATAAAACTACTACTATTTTTATGAGTTACATAAGAACAGTACCTTAGTTCTTTTAATAGGTATTTAAGTTTAATGAATAAGTTTTAACATAATTGCAGTAATTTATCTGTTCCATTATAAATTAGGCCAATCACAGAGATTTATAATAAGTTGTTCTTAGTGGTAAAGAAAATCAAATGTTGATAAAAATCATAAAAAATATTATGACCCTTCAAATCATATATAAACGAACTTTGAATTATTTTTCTGTAATAATAGTTTATCGTTTTAGATATGTAGATTAAATAACTATGTATCCTACCTTCTAAACTTTCTAACTATAACAGTGTTACATAGTGGAGCAGTATCAGCAGTATTTTTTGCATAGTATTGAAATATTTTTAAAATATGTATGAAAATTAATGTTTAATTATGTATACAATGCAATCTGTTGCATTTACAGTAGTTTTGTTAAAATTTAAAAAAAACAAATATTTTGATGTAAATGTTATACTTTACATTTTGTCAATTACTGCAATTTAGTTTAGGAGAGCAGAATACAATAAATGCAGATTACAAAAAAAAAAAAAAAATGAATTGTTATTTACAGACTGGAACATTAATTTAAAATATAAATTCAGGAGTATTAAATTGATTAATACTTATTTATTCACCTGCTTATTTCAATTTCATTTGTAAATTAACTAAAGCTAATTAAAAGTTAATTTTATTAATAATTTTTACTAACTTTACTTAGTCTCATTAATTTACTTAAATATTATATTAGGTATGAAGTGTTACTATTTTAATAATCTCTAATGGATATCACTGTAGAATATCCCAACTCTATATTTCTAACATAAATTATTAAATTATTTTCCTAAATTTTTAATTTAAAATTTAGAACCTGGAGTACAATGAACAACCTAATTAATGGTCAAGTTCATTATAATATGAACTTAATTCCTGTTTCATTAGTTTATTTTAAACTTTGAATGGATGTATGAGTTTATTCCAAAGTTTGGTTATTTGTAATTTTAATAAATACAATATATTTTTTTTTTTTTAAATTAATTCAGTAAAATAATTTAGTAAAGTGTGTATTATTTTATTTTATTTTAAATGAAAATTTATAAGTATTTAATACAATAAAAGTATCTAACAAGTTAGCAAAAAGTGTTATGTATATCATTAAAAATATTTAATTTAAATATTAAAAGTATTTTTTACAAATATTTCTTAGATTTTGGAGCCAACCAAAGAAATAATTTTACATGCTTTGGATTTAAAAATTGAAGAAGTTGAATTAAAAGAAAATGATGGATCCATTTCTAAACCATCTGTTACGTTATCAGCTGAAGAAGAAACAGTTACATTGGGATTTGATAAAGAATTGAAAATAGGCGAAGCATTCTTGAAATTTGTATTTATTGGTGAACTCAATAATAAAATGAAAGGATTTTATCGCAGTAAATATGTCAGGTAAAATATTTTAACTATATACTATCAGTATGGCTTTGCAATCTTTTTTTCTTTTCCAAAAAAAATTGCATAGTGTGACTGAAACTGGCCATCAGGTTGAATTTTATAATGCCGTTACCATGTTGTGTACAACACATGCACGTAGAATGTTCCCATGTTGGGACGAACCTAATCTGAAAGCAGTATTTGATATATCTGTTGCCGTGTGTAACACATCTTATCGAGCTTTGTCAAATATGGTAAGATTGATAATCAATTAATATCAGTTGTATAATTTTTTTTAAAGTTCAAGTGGAGAGGAAAAATATTCCGCTGTTACTCAGTTTGAAGCAACTGATGCAAGAAGGTGTTTTCCCTGTTGGGACGAGCCGGCAATTAAGGCTGAATTTGACATTATGTTATCTGTGCCTCAAATTAGAACGGCTCTTTCCAACATGGTAAAGTTTTATTGCATTAATACATTTTTTTATTTATATTTTTGATACATGATTAGTTTTTAATTATGTACAGCCTGTCGTATCTGATACAACTTCAGAAAATGGTGATCGTTTAGTTAAATTTCAAAGAACTCCAATTATGTCTACTTATTTGGTAGCTGTTGTAGTAGGAGAATTTGATTATGTGGAAGACAAAGATTCTGACGGTGTTTTAGTTAGAGTCTATACACCAGTTGGAAAAAGTGAACAAGGAAAATTTGCTTTGGAAGTTGCCAAATGTGCACTGCCTTATTACAAAGATTACTTTCAAGTAGCTTATCCTTTACCAAAAATGGATTTAATCGCTATTGCAGATTTTTCATCTGGTAAGTAATTAGGTTTTTTTTTTTTCCTCTAAAATTATGCACCTAGGTACCTACAGTTTTTCTTAATTAATTATTTTTAGGTGCTATGGAAAATTGGGGTTTAGTAACATATAGAGAGTCATGTCTATTAGTTGATCCAGCAAATACTTCAGCTGTTCGCAAGCAATGGATAGCTCTTGTTGTAGGACATGAATTAGCTCACCAATGGTTTGGTAATTTAGTAACAATGGAGTGGTGGACGCATCTTTGGCTAAATGAAGGGTATGCTTCATTTGTGGAATTCTTGTGTGTGGAACACCTATTTCCTGAATATGATATATGGACACAATTTGTGACAGATACATATATCAGAGCTCTTGAATTAGATGCTCTTAATAGCAGTCACCCTATTGAAATACCAGTAGGCCATCCATCTGAAATTGATGAGATATTTGATGATATATCTTACAACAAAGGTGCTTCAGTTATTAGAATGTTGCACAATTTTATTGGAGATCAAGTGAGTTGTAAATTAGGTATTTTTTTTTACATGTTTTTTAAAAATATTTTTTTTTTTAGGATTTCCGACAAGGAATGCATCTATATTTGACAAAGCATCAATACAACAATACATTTACAGAAGATTTATGGGCTGCTTTAGAAGAAGCCAGTAATAAACCCGTTAAAGCAGTTATGTCTACATGGACATTACAGAAAGGATTTCCTGTTATCACAGTTGAAAAAGAAACTCAAAATTCTGATGGATCTAGAGTTCTTAGTGTGTCTCAGACTAAATTTACTGCTAATGGTCTAGCAGATGGTAAAATTACTATTGTAATATTATTTATTTATTTTTTAAATAATTTAAAATTTTAGATGATGGCCTTCTATGGATGGTTCCATTAACATTTTCAACATCCCGCAATCCTGGAATCGTATGTCATAAAGATATAATGTCCGAAGCTCAAAAAGATGTTGTTATTCCTGCTACTGTAATTTCACCAAATGAATGGATTAAAGTAAATCCAAGTACTGTTGGTTACTATAGGACTCGTTATGCACCAGAACTTCTGAAAAAATTTGTACCATCTATATCACTGAAAACGTTACCCCCTTTGGATCGCCTTGGATTACTTGATGATCTTTTTGCTCTAGTTCAAGCTGGTCTTTCAAGTACAGATGAAGTTCTACGTCTAATGTTGGCTATGACAGATGAAGACAATTATTCTGTATGGTCATCAATGAGTAATGTACTTGGTAAATTGGCTATATTATTGTCTAATGTTGAAGGAGAGACAGAAAAACTTTTTAAACATTACAATAGAGTTCTTTTAAAAAAAATATCAACGAAATTGGGATGGACTCCTCAACTCAATGAAAGTCACCTTGAAACAATGTTGAGGGGCTTAGTAATGTCCCGATTAGTATCTAGTGCTGATCCTGATATTATATCTGAAGCCAAAATAAAGTTTTCAAATCATTTAAATGGCATAGAAACCATTGTAGCTGATTTAAGAAGTCCTGTATATAAGGCATGTTTGTCAACTGGAGATGAAACCACTTTCAATCAATTATTACAGGTTTAAATTATAATAACTATCTGTGAAAATAAGCAATTTTTAATTTTGATTATTTTAGCTTTATAGAGGAACAGATTTACACGAAGAAAAAGATAGAATATGCAGAGCAATGGGTTCATCTAAAAATAAAGATATATTAAAAAAAGTGCTTGATTTTGCTATGTCTGTAAGTTTTACTATAAAATGGTTTTCTTTTTATTCTGTTTGAAGATGACATAACTTATTTTTAAGTAATTTTTTATTTTAATTAATGTATTTTAATTGACTTAAAAAAAATGTTGTTTTTAATTTTTGTAATTAATAAAACTTATAATAATTGCTAGAAACTTTGAATGTTTTATGTAAAAAATAAATCATATAATCAATATTTGATATATTTGATTATCATGAAATCAAACTTAAGATATACAAATATAAAATAATTAAATAATATTATTCTATATATATCTTACACAACTAGAATCAAAAGCTGTAGGTAGAGTTAAATTTGTAGTTAAATTGTTTTTTCTGTTAAAACAAAATATCCTTTAGTTTCTATTTATTCAACCATTTTATAATGAAAAATCAATATATTTTTGTACCATTTTACAAACATTTGTCAATTTTTTTATTCCACAATACCCATTATTAAGATTTGGAATGTATTTAATTTAATTTATATGAGAGCAAACTTAATTTACTAGGTTTTTTAAAATATATATTTGTATATAAACAAATTGTTTCCTCTTATAAAATGTAACCTATAATTTAAAAAAAAAATGTATATATTATTGTTTTCTACAGGATGAAGTTCGTTCACAAGATACTGTCTTTGTAATAATTTCTGTGGGTGGATCTAAAATTGGAAGAGATTTAGCTTGGCAGTTCATTCAGGATAACTGGACCAATTTATTTAATCAATACCAGGTTAAAATATATTACATTAATAGCTTCATTTGTATTAAACAACTATATAAATTCAAATTTATTTGATAACAACTATGTTTGACATATTCAATGTGACTTTTTAGGGTGGATTCCTATTGACCCGTTTAGTAAAAAACACAACAGAAAACTTTGCGTCTATTGAAAAAGCAGAAGAAGTAGAAAATTTCTTTAAAACAAATGGTTGTATTGGTGCTGAAAGAACATGTTTACAAGCTTGTGAAACCATCCGATTAAATGCTTCATGGCTTAAGAGGGATCATGAAAAATTAAACAATTTCCTTAAAGAATTTGCCCAAAAATGACAATAGAAATTCAATAATGCTCAATGCCTGTGCCAGTTAGTCAAAAAATAATTTTAATTAAATTTCAAAACATTATAATTCGTACATATACTTACTTACCTAATTATTAACAAATTATTTTGAAATAAAAATATAAAAGAATAAATAAGTTTGTAATGTGTAATCCATTTATTTAGAATATCGTAATACTAACATAGCCATCTATATGCATTATACTCTGGGATTTAATAAACAAATTGGGATTACAAATATTTTTAATACATTTTAATTTTTAAAGCATGTATACAATATACAAACATACAAATATATACACATATATTGATATTATTAATGCTTAAAATAAAACTTGTTTTTCAGGTTAGATATAATACCAAGAAGCAGCAATACATTGGCATTTTTGTTAAATAAAGTATTTTGTTACACTAAATGCACATTCTGGTTTAAACAAACCTTTTTTATATTGGGCATATTTTCTTTTATTTTGATTAATATAAATGTATTCTTTTTGGTTTAATTGTTTATTTATTTTATTTTTAAACTTTTTCCTTTGATTTTCCTTAATATTTTATTACATTATTGTAATGAATATTTAAAAAAAAAAAGTAAATAGATACTTTTCACTTATATTAACTACCTGTATGCGATGGCTTACTAATGAGTGTCACAATTTGGTTGTTTCGACTATCACAGGTGACTATTTTGGTACCCTGTTATATGCCCTACATATTTTTGCTAATAAATTGGGCATGGGGAAAGGGTATTTTTTATTAAAATTTGACATTAGCTTGCAATGGGATAACAATATTTTTGGCTGATGTATGTGTACATGTTAAAAATATGGATCTATACAAATGCGAGCACATATTAGACTTATTCAATAATAACCCCCTCCCTCTTTTTTGGTTACTTAATCAGGTAGTTGAGATAACCGAATTGTAATTCTTGACAAATCGTAAGTAGTTCAGATAACCGAAACATAACACCACCACTAAGTATAATCATCTTCAATGACTAAAACAGTGGTAAACTGTTCAAATAAATTAACTGTAGAAGTGTATTGTGCCAGTAAAATCATAATATCCAACCATACATAATGTTTCACATGTTCATGAAAGCCACCATTAAACTATTTAAAACTCAATCTCAACTCTTACTGCTTATTGTCATTAGCTTTCTTGTCCGTCTTGTCCTCCAAACTCATACTCTGATTTACTTCTATTAATCCTTAGTCCATTAGTGCTACTCTCTATTCCTCAAACCTACTATTAACTTATTCCAGATTTTCTCCTATCAAAGCTATATCATCTGCAAAACATTATGCACCATAATACGTTTTCTCAGCTGTTGTCCTCGCGCGCATCCGAGATGGGACAATTTGTCAAATTCTCGTTTAGAACTTCTTAACTTTTGTTAGAATTTTTATATTTACTGTTGACCTGACATAACCATATTTATTGGCTCTTACAAGTAGAGGTACTGTGGGAGGATTCTGTTCTTCTCCCACAGGGTTTGTATTGAAAATATTATAATATAATTTAAAGTTGTATTATCCATTTACCTATTGAATGTTTGAATGATATTCAGCTAATTCCAATCTATTTTTATAATTTTACATCTAATTTATAAAAATAAACATTATTTAATGTCAACATTTATGTTCAACAATATATCTAACTAATAGAATATTTTGGTAAATTAAATTTGCCTATAGGAATTATATCTATAAAAAAATATCAAGAGTTCTAACGACCACGGCGCCCCCTGATGTGCGCCCTAGACTATTGGCTCCTAGTCCTAAATCTGGTTCTGCTAATAAGTAATGTATAGTGATATATAACGATTTCATTTATAGGTATATCAATATAATTAATAAGATTAGAATGTTGTGGTACTTATATTCTGTCACTCATAAATACTTAGTTAATATACAACTACCTACTAATTTATGAAGAATTATATGAGTACCTATAATCTATCAGTATATCAATATAATTAGTGGTCTTCTTATTAATATTTTTGAGAATACACTTAATTTCACATCTTCCTAATAGATTATATTGTTTATAGGGAAGAGGTACTAATTATACAAAAATTAAATTGAAATTAATAAAATAAAACATTGAGCGTTTTTAAAAATAAAGTATCTACTAAGAAGTTATAAGAAAATTGGAAAATTTTCAGTTATGACTATTTGTGAGTATACACAGTATACAAATAATTCAATTAATTATTATATATTGTATATCAATTAATAAGACGGACATACTTTGCACACGTGTGCAACCACTGTTGTAGGTGGGAAGTTGGGATTCAGAGGGAAATTTAATGTAAACAACGATAAACCATTACTTACGAAAAAACGATTTTGAGCAGAATTCAATTGATAGTGATGCTTAGTTAACAATATATACCTATGTCATATTATGGTAAAATAATTAAATAATTAAATAATCATTAAATATTTTCATTAATAGGTAATATTTGTTTAATATTTTACCGGTTTTCCCGTTTTTCCAATATCGTTTCCCAGTTTTTCACATTTGAGGAGAAAATCGAAAAATGACCTCTCTAAAGTTAGCACCTCTTCAGTCAAATTTCCTTTAAGAAAAAGAGCTATTATTGTAATTCGGATCAAAATTGTTGGTAGAAAAATATACACAGAAAAAAAAGCCCATTATATTTTTTTACTAATATGTACTTACATTTCGTACATTTTCCGTTTTTTTGACATTTATCCCTGTTTTTTTCAGCTATTATGAAAACCGCTTAAAAAATCAAAAAATGACTTTCCTTAAGTAATATTTAGATAAAATTTCCTTTTAGAAAATAAACTACACTTTATACATAAGAGTGAGCAAGATTTCTGGTAGAAAAATTTGCATGACAAATCAAGGGGTATTTTGTAATTAAAATAGTCCGAGTGAGCGATGGTTTGGGACTCTATAGGTACACCCAAAATGCATTTGTGTTTTCCTTGTTTAGGTAAACGGGGGTTAATAATAACCTTTTTTAGAACATTTAATTTAGTATAATTTGTACTTGATATATTTTATAATGTCTTCAAATATTTATCAAACATATTAATATAACTGAAAAAATTGATTTTGTCAAAAAAATGTTTTGTTTTTAATATTTTTCTTAGAAAATGATAACCTTTGAACAATTTTGTAACATTATTTTTATAGACATTATTAAGCTCTATTATTAAGGTTCTCTATACATTTGTATGCTAAGTGCTATAGTTTGTTTACATATATTAGGAAAATTAAACTACCCCTTTTGCCATTTTTCAACTTTAAGTCGGTACTAAAAGGGGTTGAGTAATTCCTACCAATTTGTACCCAAATCACTTTCTCATTTGACTTAACAAATCTTGTGGATATAGACAAAAATATATCACCTCTATCAAATATTTATAAGGACCACCTTAATATATATATATTTATATATATGTACCTTTATAGATTATGAGTAGTATTTTTTCTCAATAAAATACATTTATTTTAATCTTGGATTCATCTATTTTTGTATTTATAGTTGAATTTATTCTTAAAATATAATAAAAATCATATTAGGTTAATAGGTACCTACTTTTGTAACATTGTCACATGTATTACTGGTAGTAGTATCTTTATCAATTGTGTGGTGATTTGTGGAATCAATTGAATAAACCATTATATTTAATTCAGAATAATATTTAACTATCATACTATTATTTAGATTTTAACAGTACTAAAATTGAAATTATTTTTCATAGAATATACAGTAAAATGTATCTTTGTAACAAAATCTACAGTTTTTATGTTATCTGCGTTTTTAAAATAGATTTGGATAGAAGAAAAGTAGGTGGATAACTTAATCTAATTTGGACGTTTTTAAATATATTAGTTTTTTTTTATAAAATTGTTCATAAACGTATTCCTATTCATCCAAAGTTGGGGTGAATAAGAACATTTTTTTTACTTATGTTTTCTTTTTTTACTAAGTTTAAGACGGATAGGAACTTAATATATTTTGAAAAAATATTTAACGTCTTTTATGGATGTATTTATTTTATAATATTAGGTATTTACTTAATAACAATGAATAAAAATGATTACATGGAAATATAAAAATATTTATTATTAATCAGTCTATTTCAGTCTGTCGAATGAGATTAGGTTTATCACCAATCTCTGAAGTCGATATTAAACTTCATGAGTCGTCTTCTTTGTAGTTGATGATGGAATTTGGAAGCAAGAAAATAAATTAAATATTATATTTTGAACATAATTGAATTCCAGCCATGGTCAAGTGGGTCAATGAATTATCTCCTATTAAAAATTGTTTTTCTAGTTTATTTTTAACAAAAGGTATAACAACTTTAATTAACCAGTCCTCAAAACTGGCCTCTCAAAACATAGTGAATCGAACCATCCAGATTTATTCCTGTCATGTCTAGAATTTGGAGGAACTTTAGGTACTAACTTATATAAAAACAATAGGAATTAGATAGGTAGTTAAGAATTAAATCGAACTATATAGTCCAACTTCTTCTTCTAGTTAATGGTCCATACATCATTATATAGTCCATACTTTTGAGAAATTGACCTGCCGTTTTGAGTTTTCAATTTTTTTTGAGTTCAGACTGTTTAGGAAAAAAAAATATAATTAAGTAAGTACAAATATATAGGTAGATAACATAAAAAGTGAAGGTAACTGGGACCTAGTTATCTATATTACAGCTATAAGGGATCTAGTTTTGGAATGTTAAATTTTAGTCATAATAGTAGTAACGACAATACGGGAAGCTCCATGCATTTTTCGTTCACTGTTATCTATTTTGTGCTCCATTTCACTAGCAGTTGTCAGTACTCATTTATTTAAACATAATATGCATTTTTAGTGGTAAGGCTTAAGGGGCTAAATAGGCAATAACGAAGGATTGTAGCACTATAGCGCCGGCCTGTTTCTATAGATCATCTCGTATTCCTATCTATTTTTCTCATCAATGCTATGGTATAAAATGTTTGTTAAGTTTTTGAATATTAAAAGTTTTCTTTTCAAATATTTTATTGAAAATGAAATTTTAATACGAGAATGATAAAATTTTTAATTTTAAGCATTCGTATTACAAATACAATAAATAATGTTAGTGAATAATTAAAGTAAGACGATATATCACAGATATCTATAGTATACCTAGGTACTATAGTATAGATATCTGTGCGATATATGGGAATATGCATGGTCCATGAAGAAGAAAGCTGAGTAAGACGTCAATAATGTGATATCGACGAGAATATTATAATAATACGTTAAAAATAATATTTCAGTTTCATACAGGAAAAATTGAATTCATAGAAAAATATTAAAAAAAAAAAAAAAAACCGATAATCGATATTTACAATTCCCACCATACCATGTGATCGGGTGGTTGGCTAAACTGAAATCTTACTAGGAAAATGGCGACGTCTGGTTTTGACGTCATTTGCGTCGTTTTGCTTCTATTGTGCGTATCTCGTCTTGTGAAAAAATATAATTTTATTTCCCTTGGAAATGTAACGATTGTTGTTCGTATCGTTCATGTTTTTCTTTCTTTTATATGATACCGTTTCACGCTTGTATCTATCGATTTTATGATTAATGTTTACACGTAAATAATTTCGCTGTACTAACATTTGTGTCGTCAATTTAATAGATTCGCGTACTAACCGCTACAAGAACAAAACTTCAGCAAAATGAGTATGCCGGAATTGGGAAGCAAAATCAGCCTAATATCAAAGGCCGATATTAGGTATGAGGGTAAACTATTCACTGTTGACCCTCAAGAATGCACAATTGCTTTGTCTCACGGTAATATATTTTACAAATAATTTTAAATAATCTAACAAATCGCAATCCTATTTTATTTGTCATTCGGCATTAATGCAAAAGATATTGGTCCCAATATATTTTTCATTAAGTATAATTTAATACTTATACCTGTTAAACCTCAACAAATATTTTTTTATTTAATAAAATTGAGAACATTTTTTTGAATTTAGTAGTATATTTTTATTTAAATGAAAGTACCTAATAAATAGGTAATGTGTTTTTCATATATAATGCATTCTTTAAACACAGTATCGAATCCTATAATTAGATTATTTAATCTATAAATTTGTGTTATTTCCCATCTTTATCCATATTAATTCTCATTCAGTTTGGGGATTTCAGTAAATGAATCTTTCGATTTATTGACAAACGATGAATAATCACATTTTTCAACTATATAGATCTATTTTTATTTATTCTGTATAATTTCCCGTAACATAGTTAATATTTTAGACTTATTTTTGAATTGTTTTTGTTAAATATTAAGTTATTAAATTTTTTTTCAAATAGGTATTCATATCAATCGTATTCCAACTTAAAACTTATACTTGGTAAACATTTAAATTAACATTAATAAAATATTTTTAATGTGACATAAAGACTCCCAAATATAATATTCTGACTATTTTGATTATATTATCAGAGTGAAGTCTGGTTTTATATGTTTGGAAGTCGGTAATATGTAAGATTTTCGTTTTAAATTTGGTATTAAAATTCTTATAAAAATGCAACTAAAAAGGTTTCTTGTTTTTCATTTTTTAATACATTTTTTGGAGAGTTTCCTAATTAATATGAAAACTACTTTGGATTACAAAAAATAACTTTCTTTGTTAGTGACTACATGTTAAAAGAAACAAAATGATCTGTCATTTTCGATTTAAGCAATCAATACTTATGGTAGAAAACAACATAAGTTGCAAAAATTAAAAACAATGAAAACAATAGTGCTACAGTAAATATTTTATGTTTAACTTATAATTTTCTTTCGAGTTTATCCCAATTATTTTAAAACCCATTGAAAAATCAAAAAAATGACCTAAACGCAACAAAAGAAAATTTTTCAGAAAAGGTGCTACAGTCTATATTTTGGAACTAATTTTCTGGTAGAAAAGTTCTAAAATACAGAAACATTCATATGTACCAAATTCAATAGATCCCTTGCCGCATTCTGAATCTAAAATAATAATTTTTCTTATCCTTGTGATTAATTTTTATTTTGCTCATTTATTAAAAACTACTATTTTATACACCAACTTATTTGACAATGCAACAATAAAGAGTTGTTTTTAAATTCGAGTAATATTTTTGATAGAAAACGTAAAGCGCAATAATTATCAAAACTGCTTGGATTTTTTTTTTTTTGATTAAAGTAATATTTCTGGTAGAAAACTGTTTACTAAATTAAAAACTACAAAATTGATTACGCTGTGGTGCATTGTAAATATTTTCCATTTTACCTATAATTTTATTTATGATTTTACCAAATTATTTTGAAAATCCTTTGGAAAATCAAGCAATTTGAGAAAATGAGCTATAATTGATACTTTGCAACACAATATTTGGTAGAAAAGTTGTTTACAGAAAGAAAAATACCCGTTATACTAAAACCAATAGATATTACCAATAATAACAATAAATTATTAATTTTTTTAGATCATACTATTTTAAAAAAGATTCTATTATTATAAAAAAAAATAATTTATTAAAGTACCTATATGTTATTAAAAAAAATGTGAAGTATTATAGATATTATGGGAAATAATTATGTCCCTTACTACAAATTGTATACAATTATATTCCTATAAATAATGTATAATATGCACAATATTGTTTATGTATACTATCTACTTTACCCTTTGGCTTTACAGTGTTTTCTATCTCGTACTTAAACATATTATTTCTGCACATGATCTAGCATTGTGCTAAAAATTAAAGTATATTGTTTTATCTATGTACAGCATGTACTCTTGTAAGACAGAATATGTATAGTTAACATAACAATTGAAGTTTCAGAATAGATATTGCATTTTCTTTTTAATAGGTATAAAACTGAATTCTTATTTATAACTTAACATTTGTATGTAAAATAGTTTTTTATGTTTATTTAATTGTCATATTATGTTTGTATCTGTATTTTATTGATTTCTTGAATTTTTGTCCACCCTCTGTATACCGTTATAAGTATTTGTCACTTATCTTTAAGATTACACAATAAAAAATATTGAATTTTTCTAATTTTCTAACTTAATAATTATTATAATTTATTTATATGAAACTTATTGTATATGTATATAATTTAAAAAATGTGATCATTGAAATATCCATAGGATAAATCGCTACTAAATAATGTGTACACAATATTTCAGAATACCTAGCAGAATATTTTTAACAATTGTAAACCATTAAATATTTAATTGAAATTCTAAATCAATGGTCAGTCAGTATATTTCTCTAATCAATTTATTTAGTATCTTGTGTTTTAAATTTGATAAATATTGAAGATAAGCATTTGAAAATAAATTTAAATGTGTTTATAATTTTTTTTTTTTTTTTAATCTGGGAAAAATATTCTTTTTAAATTGTTGAGCATATTTATTCTGCTAAAAAATTATTATCCTCATAATATTAAAAAACAAATTTTAAAAAAATCCATCAAATAAGTTTATGTTTACATTAGGTACCTAAAAATCATATGGTTTATTGTTTTAACATTTCACCTCATGTGCATTTTGTTGTATTAAAATGTGTTTTCAGAAAAATATAAATTTTGTGTTTGAAATATTAAACATATTAAGTACTTCCAGGTTATATATTTACATACGTTAAAGATATTAACATTATTTACTAAATTAGTAAATGTTATTTTCATAGATCTATTGTTTAAGTTTCCTAACTACTGAAATTAAAATAATATTGTTTACTATTATTTGATCTACCTATCTATTAATAATAAATAACTTTTTACACATTCTTTTATTATGTTATCTCTACCTGTCATCAAAGGTGACAAATGAAGTTGCTTTTGGTCAACAGCTGGTGTAAAATTCAGTCAAACAATATGAGTCATTATAAACAAGACTTTGGCTGAATGTCTGATCTTGGATGTGTGACATGAGGTGAGAGGAGGTACCATGGTACACAATGTTTGTAAATGATATAGCATTGAAAAGAGAAAATCTGAACTAAGTTAACAGAAGAATCAAAAAAAAAACACTTTAATGAAAATAATTGGGAATAACGTGAGATGGTCATGAAAAGAGCAGAACCCAAAAGAACAAGAATTGCAATAAAAATAAATGTAGAAGAAAATAGTTAGAGAGAGAAATTGTAAAAAAGGTGGTTGAGCTTGATGGAAAATGTTATTAAGGCAGCTGGTGTATACAAGGTGGGTGATCGGGATATAAGTGTAAGTTAAAAACATTGGTGGCCTACTCCAAAAAGTCTGAATAAAGGAGAAGATGAAGAGAAGACATTAATTTATCAATCTGTTTCAGTTTTGATTATAATTAAACATTATTTTCACTGCATGTAATCTTATTTTATTTCAGTGCAATCATTTGGTACAGAGGATCGCCCAACAGAGTTTAAGGTTCCAGCTCAAAGTCAAATATATAATTATATACTGTTCCGTGGTTCTGATATTAAAGATATTAAAGTAATAACTCCCCAAATACCTCTTAATGATCCTGCTATTGTACAAGTAATTATTGTTTAAATTAATAACTCGAGTGTTCAATAGCTTATTCTTTTTTAATTTTTAGTTATCAGTTCCTCCAAATACTATGGGCGGATTCAATTCTAATTATCAACCTATGGACGAATTAAGTTCAAACAATCAGGTTGGAAATTCTTATAACCCTATGTCTGGTGTGAACTTAAATCCTGGACCTTCACATAAACAAGCAAGTGAGTCTCCTCTGATAATAGATCCACAACCAGTAATTCAGCAGAAACAACCGATGACTACCCAATCTGGTATGTACACGCATACATAAACCCAATTGCTTGGGCATATTTGGCATGCTTGTACATATTGCTGTTGGGTACTATTGTAAACATCTTCCAAAAGCTTTAACGCATGTTGATCAAATTACTGTTGCTGCTTTAGTACCTATTGTAGACAATAATTTTTAGTTTTATACTTGTTTTACAAACATTGTTTGGTCTATTATATTTTTCTAAGCTTTTATTTCAAATATAGTGGGGGAGTTGGAAAGGTAGGATACAGAAGGGAATTGAATATATATCTGTAAGCAATGATAAACTATTGCTAACGAAAAAAATGATTTTACAAGAGTTCAGTTGTTAGTGATGATTATGTATATAATGTAAACATAAATAGTTAAAGTAATGTATTGAAATAGGAATTTATTTTATTTTAATATAGCTCGGTCTATAGAATTACATTTTTAACAATGTGTTTTTCCATGGAAACAATGATAGTTTGAAAAAGATTAAAATAAGAAAAACTTAATAATAACTCAATAAATAAATAAAAATTGTTGCCAGTGACAACTTTATTTTTAATCTTTCAATCTTTTTAACCTAAAGTTGAAATTTTCCTTATTATCTTGAATATTAATGAGGATTTCAAAAAAAGACTTCTCAAAAGTATCACCTAGAGAAAATTTCCTTTCAGAAATGGTTGTATACTTAATAATCGGAGTATGCTTTCTGGTAGAGAAAATGTTCACATCATTGTAAAACCACCAATACATTCCTCGCTCCACTCGCAATCTAATAAAAGAAATGGACAATTATTCAATATTATATTGGATAAATTTTAGGAATGATTAAAATCATGTGTTGTTAAGAAAACCTTCAGGTACTTGATTGATGAATAATTACTTGAAAATATTTCAGTTTACTGTAAATCTAATTTTTGCTTATGCTAGAATTGTCAAAATTCAAAATATGTTTCGTATTAAAGGAGGTGTTAATTTTATGAATTGATAAATGAATCACATATTCAAGTCCTTACAACAATATATACTCAGTAATTAAATGATATAACACAGCATTTTTATGGAATTTTGTCAAAAAAGAAAATATCCAGTCAAAAATATTCAAATGCATTTATAACTCAATTTTAAGGGAATCCTGTGTTATTATCACAAGTATTTATGTGTAGTCATGAAATTAATTTAAATGTTTACAGAAACCAAAATAGTTTACAAACTAATGTGCAGGACAATTTAACTCTTATCCGGTTTAATCTTAGAGGTACCAAAATTTCAAAACATAGAAATGAACTTTATCTATATTATAGCATGCTTATTTTATTGATATTACAACTTAATATGTTAAAATAAATAAATGAAAACCCAAACATTTACAAAAAGATTATAATAAATGTATTAAAAATGAAAAACACCACATCGCCTATATCAATAAAAAAAATTGTATGTGTTGTAAAATTTTGATAAATCTATAATATAATTATGATAAAAAGAAAAGTTGTCCTTTACAAAACAGTTTTTTGTTTAAATTACAGGTGGTTTGAAATCCTTTTAAGAAGCTTTATCCTAACACCTATTTTCTCTTTCTGTCTTTAGTTTAGTGTTATATGGCAACAAAGGCGTTTTAAATTTACGTGATTACTACTCCCGGTTTAAATTAAACTTAGTACATTTTGCATAAAGTAGAGTATTTACTATGAATACTATTTTAATATTTTAGTTCTAATAAGTTAATAGTTAAAATTAAGAAAAAACCATTAAAACTTATATCTTGATTCAGAATTATATCAGAAAAAAACATCATGTCACATCATCTATGGTCAATTAGATAAGTCAAAATTATGAAATGTTTTTGTTGCTATATTTATGTGTAATACACACTGAGTAAACAAATGTTGGTGATAAGGCATTTAAAAATTAGATGAGTAATATATTTATTTTATTAATGCAATATTGCTTTTTATTTGATTTGATAGTACAAGGTCTTGTTTGAGTATTATTGTTAATTTATAAAAATGACATTAAATGATAACTGTATTGAACAATTTTGGTGGATTTTTATTGTATAATTATTTGAGACAATAAATATTGCTTGGTTTATAAAATGAATTCATTGAATGCATAGTAAAATTTTAAATACATTTTTTTAAAAAAAAAAAACATTAATATATATATACCTACAATATAATAATAATGTTTATATTATAAATAGAAATTGAATTCATACATTTTTATCTGCCTTGCTTTATTGTTTATACAATAAAATAAAATGCAATACAATAAAATTTTAATATGTAAATGGTACTATAATACAATTTATTGTATAAATGCATGATAAAAATCATCTTAATAGCAGTAGTTTCTATTTGAATGTCAAATATTAGTAATAGAAAAATTATTTTAAATAATTAACTGCATAGAAAGTTTAAAAGCTAGAAAAGTTAAAATATTTGTCTATACATAATATATATATAGATTGGTCCTTATACTTTTTTAAATTAAGTTTGCCAAACCGAATATTTTTCGTTCTTTTAAAAATAATTTGTGAAAAATATTAAGTTGGTATGTCAATGTGAACCTGTTCCTCTGGAAATTTTAAATTTAGCATAAATAACTTTTAGAAAGATAAAAGTCTTTTGTTACAACTCTATTATTAACTAGTATTTAATAATTATTGTTTGTGATGTATATAAACTAAAAATTTTGCTTACTTAGTTTGTTGTTATTGTAACAACAATAGAAACTTAAAAAAATTGTATCATTTTTTGTGGATTTTCTTTTTTCTTTTAATAATTCTAAATTTTATTTCTTAACATTGAATATAACATATTTATTATTCATTTTAATAAGTTGCTAAGAATCTACTAAAGATAAGCTATCATATAGTATAATATCCAATATTTGTCTGTTATTAAAAACTAGTATATTTTAATGTTAAATACTTTTATTATATTTACATAAAATATTATTATCTCAATTACTTACATATTATTGACAAAATAAGTTAAAAGAATATTTCATGAGAACTGTATTGTAGGTATTCAACCATTTAGAATATTTTATAAAGAATAGAAAAATATATATAAAATAATTATTGAACCAAATGTCAATAAAATTATTTCTTGAATTTAAACTGTCCAAAATAGTGAAGGGACTTTGTGATAATTCAATATTTTAAATATTCTATTCACACTAAATCATGGTTTTATAAAACTTAAGTTTCCACTACGGCTTATCATTATCTTCAGTATATTAAAAAACTTAATTATTATAAAACGGTATATAAAAATATATTAAGAGTTCTTTTAATACATTTAAAAATCATTAATCATATTTAAGTCTTGAATGAGTTGCCTTGGCTTTTTTTTAAATATCAATATATTGGTTGAAACAAAAAGAAAAATAGCTATTAATTTTTAAAATTAAAAAAATTCATAGGGTATTGGAAAAATTTATCAAGTTAAAGTTAGTTAAAGGAAAATTTATTATAGATTTCATGAAAAGTGAAATTCAATATTTTATCACAAGTGAAACTGTCAATTTTTTGTTTTAAATCATTGACTTAGAACTAACTTAATATTTTGTGCATATTATTTTCACAAGAGAAGGAAAAATATCGGAGGGTTCATAAATTAAATTTAAAAAAAAAAAAAAAAAAAAATTATAATATGGACCACCCTAATATATAGATGTATCAGATGATCCATTTAATTGGGTACACTCATTATCTCGAACATGAACATATGAAGCTCTACATTTTTATATGTATGTTTTTTTTTGTCAATTTGGTAGTGGTTTTACCTTTAAAAATAACATGAATATAAAATGGTAGAGTTAACTGCTTCTTAAAGTTCTTGAAAACAATTTCCAAAAAAAGTTAATACTTGAGATACTCTGAGATTATGAGTTTGCCCACTTAAATGGATCACTGGGTGAAACATTGTTGATAATTAAGATGTCTGTATGTATGATACATACAAACAATTTTATAAATTCTTACATATTATTCTGTATGTTTTTAAAACCTGTAATACAAATATTAATTTTCATTGAATACAATTTTAAGTATTTCTCAACTATTTATTTTCATTTACATTACAAAATTTATTTTAAAGATGTCTTGGATTTAATATCTGGTGGCTCTCGTTCATCTACACCAGCCCAGCCAAATGTTGCTGTATTTAATGGTCAACGAAATAGCCCCACATTTGATCAAAGTGTTCAAACTGGGAACCAACAGAGTCCAGGAAATGGAAGAGGTGGTAGAAACCAACGTAATAGATCAACATCTTCATCTGATACTCGTAAACAAGTTAGACAACAACAAGGGTAAGTACTATTGTAAATAGAAAATATATTTAAGAAATTAATTTATTCTTAAATTTAAAAGGCAAAACTATCAAAGAAGTGATCAACAACATTACCAGAGAAATGATCAACATTATCAAAGAAATGATTTTCAACATCAGGATAATAGCCAACATTTTGTAAATTTAAATACTATCCTTTAATCCTATTTATCAAATTATTACTATTTAATAATCTGCTTTTCTTTTTTATCAGACAAATCGTCAAGCTAGTGGAAATCGTAATATAAATAGTCGCAATTGGAATAACCAACAAAATAATCAGCAGCAACAAGTTAGGCGTCAAAATACAGCTCCAAATGCTACAGGAGGTCGTTCATTTTATAATAATAGGTCTACTGGTCTTCCAGCTCCAAGCAAAGCTCAAGGACCCCGAACAAACTCATTAAAGTTTGATGAAGATTATGATTTTGATAAAGCAAATAGTGAATTCCAGGAGATTATAAAAAAATTGTCAAGAACTAAGATTGGTTAGTATTTTCTTTATATCTAATTAATAGTTTATATTATATTTTAATTGATATAATTATATTGTATGTTTTTTTATATCTAACTGAACACCCAGTGTTGCTTATTGTTTTAGACACTGAATTGTGTAAGTAAATTGAATATGGTTTTCTTTTGTCCTTGTTTTATCAATGAAAAACATCGAAATGACACTTGAATTATTGATAAATGATAGATCATTTTTTTTTTTTTATATGTTTTTAATCTAAAATATGAAAAGTCACTATTAATCAATCTCATATTTTCTTGTTAGGCTGAGTGACAAATGTGTTTGTTGTGCAATACATGTCAATATTTCAAAACATGTTTATCAAGTTAAAAGGTTTAATATCAATAATTTTTAATACAGGAAGATATAGAGCCTGTAATAATTTAGGAAACTCTACCATTTAATGCAAATATAGATATTCTTTATTTTAAGTAAGAAAATTGAAATCTTACCACAATTGAATAAATATTTCAAATTATTTCTTTTAGTCTTTAAATTGAGAATATATAGGTACAAATACATATGGATGTTTAATACATATTAGAGGACCATTTACTGTTGAAACTCTCTTATTTTTCTAGTACTCTCTCTTCAATTGCTCATTAAGAATTATTTTCATTAAATAACATGCAAATTACTTATTTTAAAAGTAAACTTAAATGCAAGTTATAGTTGACAAATATAACTTTTTTAAATCTTGTTAGTGTCCAATTTTAAACTAAATTAAACTGCTGGTAGAATAGTTGTTCACAAGAGAAAAAAAGGCTGTAATATTTTAGAGTCTGAGTAGAAGAAGTGTGAAGAAGAGTGAAGAAAATCTATGGTTTTACAATGACATTAATTTTTTATTTTTATTTTTAAGCAACTTTTCTGTAAAAAATATTGTTCCAATTCACTATGTCTCACTTTTTCTGAAAGGAATTTGACTAGGGAGGTACTTTGGAGAGGTCAATTTTTAATTTTTTCATTATATTTGGGGGCAAAAAAACTAGACATTTTTTACAAATATTACAGAAAATGTTTAATGCATTTGTAATTATATTACCATAGTATGAAATATACATTGTTGAAAAAATAACACTTATCAACTGAACTCTGCTTAGTATCATCTTTTTCATTTACAATAATTTATCATTGTTTATAGATGTAAATTAAATTCCCTTCTGTATCTTACTAACTTTCCACCTAAACAGTGGCTGCACCCCACTTGCGAAGTATATCAGTATTTATTATTTTTGTTTTTTGAACTAATACCTACATTTCGTACTTTTTCCTGTTTTTTCCTATTTGCAGAGGAGAATTCCTGGAAAATAGAAAATTATCTCTGTATAGTGCCTCCCTATTTCAATTTATTTTCAGGAGAGCTATTACACTTCAAAAATCTGATCAAGATTTCCAGTAGACAAGTTGTATATAAGATAAAATACAAATAATAAACATCTTTGTAAAATCGTAAGCGTCTTTACTCCACTCAGAATCTAAAATTAATAATGATCGGTTATTGGGTAGGTTGTATTTTTTTTTTTATTATATCTACAAAAATGTTAAATAATTATTGGTTAAAAATTACTGGTCTAAAAGCTATTATTACAATGTCTCTTATAGTATTTTAGTATTTATGAGCAATTAACCGATACATTATTGCTGATTTGTGCAGCAAAAATAAGTGCTATTTATCATTTTTTGTTTGTTTATTGTATTTTTTTAAATTATAGATGATGGTTTTGATGATTCAACTGAAGAAGTAACTTTAGTTAATGGTGGGGCTTCATCAGTTAATGGTGATTCATTACTCCATGTTAATGATGGTGAACAAAGTGTAAAAAAACCACATCGTATTGAAAGTGGAAATGAAACTAGTATTGCTGAAACTGAAAATGAAGGAGATGATGAACAAAAAACATTTTATGACAAATCTAAATCTTTCTTTGACACAATTAGCTGTGAAGCTGTTGAAAGAAGCAAAGGGTAATTAGTAATATTAACTAATTGTAACTAGTTATAATTTTTTAAATTTCTTTATTTTTAAAGACATTCACAAAGGACTGATTGGCGTACAGAGCGTAAATTAAATTCTGAAACATTTGGTGTTGCAATGGCAAGACGTGGCCAATATCACCGTGGTCGTGGAGGCTATTATAATAACAATAACAACAACAATACCAACAACACCAATAGTAATTATCGTGCCAACCCTAACTCATTTAATAATAGCAACTATGTTAACAATCGTCAAGGAATGAATTATAACTATCGTCAACAAAGTAATAATGGATACATGCGTAATAATCCTGGTAACCGTGGCTTTAATTACCGACCAAGATCAACTAACAAACAGGATCAACGTCAACCAAATGCAGTATCCCCTCAACGAGTAGCAGGTTTGTATTAAGACAATTACTGTCAAGAACAACAATTATTTTTTAGCATTGGCAGTACATAAATATTTAAGTATAGTAATTGGCGCTTAATGTAATCCTTCTATTATATTAAAAAAAAGATAAGTTTTGGACTGGCTATTATTTATAACAAAACAATATTAATTATAATCACCTTTATAGCCAAGACCAAATTTTTAAGAGATTCTGCAATTTGAATTTTTATACTTGCATTACATGATAAAACTATTTTTAATTTAATTTTATAATGTCAATTCTTTGTCTATTACTAGTCAAATTTTAATGGAAACAATATGATGTACTGTAAAAATTAAAGCTTTTGCTTTAATATTAAATATTTTGCATTATATTATAAAATAAAATAGCCCTTTAAAAACTATGTAATATATTGATAAAAATACCCGATTTATTTTTAATAATTAATTATTTTTAATACACATATTTATGGGTACTCAAACTTTTCGAAAACAATTTAAATTTCATAATTTTTGCTGAATATTATTCACCATGATTACAATAAGCAACCGCTGTACTTTTTATTTTTTATCATTGTTATTTTCGCATAAAAATTATATTTTATATTAATTTTTCAACAATATGAAATATTTTTATTAAATTATTACAATTAAATAATGTTTTCTATTTGAATGCACTCTTACATTTTACCTACTATTAACTGTCATCACAAGTGTAGTAGGGAATGTAAATTCCATAAGACTGTAATGCAAGGTTATCTATTTGGGTGTTTAAAGTGTTCCATTTTTTATTGTATAATGGGGTAGGTTATATTTCAATTTTATCTAAGTACTTTTTGGTCGTCTTGACTATTTTATTAAGTATTCATTTAAAGCAAAGAGATTTTTTAGTGATAGAATGATTTCATAATGATAAAGAATTTACTGAACAAAGTAGGGCTATTTAATTTTAATTTAATACACAATCAGTAATATTTTATATACTTAATGACTCTTAATATGATTAGTATTACTGACTATAAATATTGATTGTATTTAGTATTTACATAAGACATTATAATCCTCAGATTTTGTTTTAAATTTCTAAAATAAGAGTTTGAATAATTAAATATAACATATTATTATTTTTTTTATAGAAGCCAATTTTTTAAATAAAAATAAAAATATTATTGGTCTTTTCTAAAATCAGTTTTCACTCTTCTTAATTAAATATTAAACAATCTCATTTTGTTCTTTAAAATTAAAATATTATAACCAGCCTTTACTTTTTTATCTATATATTTTAACTTAATAATTTAATAAAAACTTATATTTTTAAACTTATTTATTTTGACAATAAATTAATACCTCTTCATAAGTTAACAGATTGAAAAAATAAATATTTACCTACCCTTTCGATTTACTCAAGGTACATCACTACTGATATACTCATGAAGTGTGATATTACTGATTGTGTATAATGTCTGGAGTATAATAAAATGAAAAACTCATAACTGATGACATTTTTTACGTAAAAAAGGATAATTTTTCATTAGCAGATTATTTTTCATTTGAACATTATACTCTTTATCTTTACAATTAGTAGTTAATAATATTTTATTAAAATTTATATTTATTTTATTTTTACAGTAGCTTGATGGTGCCCCTCATTCAAGATCTAATGTCGCTGTAAATTTAACATTTCTAAATATAAAAAAAAAAAAAAAAAAAAAAAAAAAAAAATTAAAACAATAATTTTCCCATGGAAAAATTAATTTGTATATATAGTTACATTTCTTCTCTTTATAAAACCGAAGTTTTAATTGTTGCTGTGCATAATTTGTAATTTAATCAATTGGTAATTTGGTACATTTTTTAAATGATATCTGATTAAGCGGAAATTTTTAGCCGCATACACATTAAAAACTTCGGCACTTAAGTCATCATATTCCTAAGTATATTTAATTTTTAATTTTTGAAAGAACATATTATTAATTTAAAATTAACTTTCCCAGACTGTTCTTTATCTTTAGTTTTAGTTCTGTTTAGACAATTTTTTTTTTTATTTTATTCTTTTTTTTTTTTGACAGATGTTTTAAAAAATAATAATAATTTATAGTTGGTTCTTTATTTAATTATTTCTACATTAGATTTTTTTTCATTAAGGTGATTGGTTTCATCTGTAATTAAATATCAAAAACCAGATTATAAGTTAATAGAATCCAAATTTATATGAAAATATGTTAAACTAGATGTAAAAAATTGTTAAAACATTAGCCTATGTAAGAAAAGATACAAAGATACTATAATTTAAAAAAGAAAATGTGATTTTTGTTTGTTTGAATTAAACAAATAACACAAAATATATATTAGAATACATCATTTAATAAAAAATATATGTTCTTTTTTTTTTTTTACCATTATTTGTGTGTTTCTTAAATATCATAACAATATTTCTTTACTACATTACAAACCAATTTTAAACCTCACTAGATATATTAAACATCCAAAAAAACGAAAAACTCAACATTTTACCAAATTAGGTAATTTTATCTAATTTTCTACAAGACTACATTTCTACGTAACATATTTTAAAAATAATTAATTACCAGTTAATCTGAAAATATATTATAATAGTGAAATTAATATAATTATAACGTCAAGATATTCTTATTGTTAAAGTTTTAAAATAAACTTTTGATGTAAATTCTTTGAATAATCTCAACATCTCCATACATATCCGTCAATGCAATTAACTAACTTGAGAGAATGTCCATGAATGCATTTTAATGTGTTATTTTGGCGATTAGAAGATTGTAATTTTTAAATTACTGCTAAAGAAACAGCTCCTTGGTATTTTTATTCAAATAACTTCAAATAGCAAAAAAAAAAAATTTTAGTTCTAATTCAACCAAAAACTTCTTTTATTTTATTACAAGTGTTCTTAATAAAGACCAAAAATTAATTTTGATTTACTTTTATATGCAAATGATAGAAAAAACATAATTATGTTATATGTGGTTTATTAAAATAACAAAAAGTAAGCTTGATGAGTGAATTGTGACTTCACCAGTGTTGGCATATAATTACTTTATACCATTTCTAAAAAAAAATATGAATTTTTTGTATTTCCAATTCTAAAATACAGTTTTTAGATAAATCTAGCGTTTTTTAACTATAACTTATTGAAGAAATCTAATTTTTTTGAAAGTGCTATCAAATAAAAATCGATTAGGAACTAAACAACTAAAAGTTCATACATATATAAACTAACCTGTTCAGTGCGGCCCATTATCATTTTGAAGATTATTATATTACATTATTATTGTTTATCTTTTTGAAGAAATAATAATATAATAGTGGTTAAAGTTATTGATATTTGTATTAAGTAAATAACTAGTAAATTGTTATACATTAATATTGAAATGAAAAGTTATAATATATTCCAATTATTTCTATAATTAAAATATTGTTATCGGAACGTGCGTGATACACAGATATCTATAGTATAGTCATAGATATATAAAAAAATTATTTTATAAATGTATAATTATAGTACAGATATCTAGGATGTGATATTAAATAATTTTTATTAGACATTAAATTAATGTTTGAATGAACATAATTTAAAATCTCACTATTCAAACCACGAATTAAGGTATACAGGATACCAAATAAACGTGTGGTAAGTGAAGCTCGAATTTTCTCACTTTTGGCAAGGCCATTAACACCATCTATAAATGCACACCCTGCACCTTTAGTCTAAACTTTAAACTAGTTTTAGTTTTTTTTGTTTATACCAATTTTGTCTTAAAGCGCTACCTGTCAACTTGAGAATAACAATTTATGATATATCTTAAACCGTTGTAAGAATCGGGTGGACGCAGTAAAACATTGATAAAACCTTTCCGTTCAGTTTTATATACTTAATTCGTTCTCCCAACTGTGTATATAAGGTAATTCATGGAATAAAACATGAATATTGGTTTTAGTCCATGATATTAACGAGTTGTGTATCACTGTTGAAAATATACTGCTTTTGTATTCATATTTCGTGTTTGAAAACAAGGAAAGGTCAAGGTCTTGCCGGCGTGTAAGTGTGTAGCTGATAGCGCTATCTTTCCCTCCAGCCCCCACTACCTTTTATTTCCAAGTAACAGAATATTTAAAATGATGTATTGTAGACGTGATGTAGTATTGTTATGGGTGTAGGTCACGGATAAGAAAAATTTGAAGAATTGTTAATCCGACGACTACTGCGCAACTGCAGCTGACCCCTCCGTGTATTTAGTAACAGGTTGGCTTCTTGTACGATTTGAGCGAAATGTCCTCAAAAACAAAAAGTCTTTTGCGCAAATATCCATACGAGTTTACCTCGTACATTACACGAAGACAGGGACAGCATCTACGCTTCTACCAGCTACTACTACGGCCACACATTGCCGTAATCGCCTTTTGGCAAACATAGTTACGACGATAGACGATACGACGGCTGTACGTTTGAAAAAGAAAGTGCATAAGCATAGCACGTAGGTATATCACATATATGAGTCGTGAGTTATAAGACTTGGTGTACAAATAAATAAAATTGTGGTCAGCAGCCTACCTTTGCCCCACCTGCTTATTAAGTTAGCAAGGCAGTAAAAAAGATATCAAACTAATCCACTATTACTACGGATGACAATGACCATCAATTGCTTTAGTCGTTTTCCTGTTATTGCTACCATGATGATAATCGCACGAGTTTACTTCTAAATTATACTTCCCGTATAACTCGTTTCTCAATACTTGGTCGTCATACTATATGCACACTCTTCCATCAGCAAATTGCGATATAATATGTGAGTGTTTTGTTATTCTTATTTGTCTTGTGCTGTTTTCTTACTGCTTTGTTGAATCAAATTTATTTACTTCAAATTATTAAATTTTTACAGGCCCCAAACTCAGTTAACTCTTAAAATTCTTTGAAGAACTGCGATTTTTCTACATTTTTTTTTTTCATTAAATCAACGAAATGGTCCGTTTAACGTGAGTACCAATTTAATATTAAATCTAAATGAATTTTACGCAAATATATATATTCGATTCTGAGCGAAAGAAATTTTATCCAATTCATACTTTAGAGGGAGGTTATTTAATGATTTTCTAAGAGGTTTTTAAAATTATCTGTAAAAATCTTATGGATATACCGTAAAATATGTACAGATTTACGATTTCATAATTTTACATTTTTGTAACATTTTTTCTCCTAGAAATCTTGTTTCAATCAAAAAATGATAACTTTCTTATTGCATTTTCGATATAATTGCCCAAGAGTAATGCCATATATGAATATTTCAAGTAGTTTTCATAAAAACTGAGGTAACCCAAAAAAAGATTAAGAATGAAAATTGATAAATTTATGACATTACAATTTCATTATTTTAAATTTTGACGCCTTATGTTTTTTACAATTAGAAATATAGTTTCAATAAAAAAAGGCGAGATCATTGTTGTTGCATATATAATCTTGTTATTGCGTAAGAGAGTCTTTTTTTTGATAAAGTTTTAATAAAAGAATAACAAAAAAAATAAAAAATACAAAATAAATGGGAAAATTTACTAAAATAATACTTTTGTTATTTATTGTCATTCAATCAAAAATATTTGTAGGAACTTGAAATGTAGACAGAAAATTATATTTGTTTTTCTAGATGTGAAAAAATTTTTAAAATATTTTAGTTATTTATAGATATTTTAATTTTTCCGTGTTGTATATAATTTTATTCTGTAAGTTTTCTGTGGATAAAATTTTTAGACTTAATGGAAATATTTGAGTATCGAACAGGAGGTTTATTATAGATTGTACCTTATAGTCACAAAAAAAAAATGAGTAATGCCTTTTTTCTTTATAAGAATTAAAATCAAATTTTGATGAAAAACTTAAATATTTTGGCTTTTCAACATGTATAACTGAACTTTGCTCAGAATCTTTTTCAATTAGCAACGGTTTATCTTTGTGTATAGATAAATATTAAATTCCTTTCTATATCTTACTTTTCCAACTTCTCACTTCATATCCATCATATGATTTTTTTTATAATAGATTCTACATTGTAACCTTCAATGTTGCCACTAAATCTCCTAATCAACCTTTGGGAGAACTACTACAATGGAACGGCCGTACTGAACAACAATTACCAGACTTTTGTTTATTTGGGTAAGTGGCTAAGTTGTTACTACCTATATGATTTTGTTTTAACTTATTATCAATATTGAAATTAATTTGACATATTTTTTTGAATTGTGTTATACATTTCAATATGTGATGATTGAAAAATACAGTTAAGTATGGAAAGTATTGATTTTGTGCTTAATATGCTATGTGAGCAGATTTCAAGTTTATTTTAATTTTCAGTAAAGATTTTACATCCCATGAAAAAATTTGAAATGATGCCTCAATAAGCACTTTAATATTTCAAGTGGATAATTAATAAATTAATAATACAAAGATTAAATTTGGCTGTAAAATACTTTTTTTTGGTAACACACTTCATAGTTGAAACACTGAAAGTGGTATGCTACTTTATCAAAATGAGTGGTTGGTTATTGAATGATAACTTCTTTAAACAAGTTAAGATTAAGTTAAGTACTGTTATAAATAAATTAAAAATGAGTTCATTCATACTAGTTGGTATAAAAACAATATCAAAATAAGAATAGTAAATATAAATTTATAATAGCCAATATTAACGAAAGGAAGGATGCATAAAATTATTTAATTTATATCTGAATAATGCTTAAGGTGGGAACACACTATTATCACGTCACGTGAGTACACAATAAAATAATTATACTAATATCATGCTATCACATCACATCATTCAGTGCATGCATGATTTTCATTCAAAGTAGAATATGCTAGTTCAACTAGTTCTTCAGATTAGAAAATGCTGCAGCTTTTATCATTATAAGTGAAAAACAATAAAAAAAAGATCAGAATAGGTTTGTAAAACTAATAAAAGACTGGAAGAACTAGGTGAATTTAATTGATTGGTGCAAGAGTTAAATGAAGCTAGTCATTGAGTTTATATGTACTTTAGAATGAAAAAAGAATTTGAATACCTTCATGAACTGATCATAGACGACATACATAAAGAAAACATAATTTAGAAAATCAATACCTTGGCGAGAAAGATTAGGTGTTTGCCTGAGGTACGCATTTAAATTTATAACAAAATAACACAAAATACAAAATATTTTCATTTATCCATCCAAAATCCCAAATCAGAATAAAACGTGATATCACGTGGGGCACAATGAAATATATTGTGTATATCAAGTGAGTGGGGGATAATTTGTTTAATATATTAATAGGTTTCACATATTCCTCGTGTGATGTGATGTGAGTTACCGAAATAAGACATGAGCTCATGTGACATGATAATAGTGTGTCCCCAGCTTAAACTATTTTTTTTTATAAGTTTGAAATTTTTACAATTTTGGTTGAAATTTAAATGTTTTAAAAAATAAAATTTCGTCAAATTGTTTTAAAATATAAGAAGTGGTGTGGCAACATTGCTGTGATTATTCTTTTGTTTCTGGGATGAAGGGGAAACATCAAGTTTCATCACCCATAACAATTGAGTCTAGGAATTCTAAAAACAAATAACAGCACATAATTCGCACTTGGTGGTGATGGAGATCGCAGCATCTATCGCTGACAGCTGACATGCCGGCACTGAACATAATAGTGGTTGGCGCAGTGACCGGAATGGTAGTGGGAGAAAAACCTGCACGGTGATGATATCAGATTTCACTTAGCGACCCACTTTTATAGTTATTACATTGGAAAAATTGCAAAAAAAAAATTATATTTTACCGACACACCTCATTTTATAATAATAATAATATTAACAATAATATCCTTTTCTTTGTTAACCAAATTGACAATCATTAGTATGCATTAGTAACTACAGGCGCACACACTGGGGATCTTTACTTATGTTAAGAAACCTAAAACTAACATATTTTGTATTATTTTAGATTCTGAATGAAGTGAGGAATGTTTTGGTTTTACAATGATGTTTATTTTATTTATTTATTTCTGTGGACAATTTTTCTACCAGTAATTTTGTTCTGATTCACAATGATAAATAACACTTTCTGAAAGGAAAACTGACTGGAGTGAAACTTTAAAGAGATTTTTTGATTTTCTCAAGAGTTAAAAACGGGAAATTGGTACAATATTAAGCATATTATGTAATTATTTTATCATAATATGACATATATAAATATTGTTGACAAAGCAACACTACAAACTGAACTCCGCTCAGAATTGTTTTTTCGTTAGCAATGGTTTATCGTTGCTTACAGATAAACATTAAATTTTCCCTCTACTACCCAAATTTTCACCTATAACATTGGCTGCACCCGTCCCATTATCTTAGGACATCTTTTTATTGATAATGCTGTCTTCTAGACCTAGCGATGCTTATATTATTTTTTAATGTTTGATTTGTTTTTCATATTTAAAATATATGATTTTTGGTAAAATGTGCTAGTGGATAGCACATTTGTCAATCAACCCTGGTATTTTTGTTATGTTGGGTCATCACTGTTTGCTTCTTGCTGGACACCCCTCTTGGAAACTTAGGAGCGATCTATGTCGATTTAATACCACTATCACTATTAATTTATTGTTGAGCTATAATGTACAAAAATTAATATTTGCTAAATATTATAAAATAAGGATAATTTAAAAATATCATGGAATAGTTTATATAAATTATTTGTTTATTTTCGTATTCAGTTATGTATAATGTGTACAAATGTACAATATTCTAGAAATATTATAATATTTATTCACTATAATTAATGACATCTGAAGATTTCTTTAGCGAATGCTTTTAAATTAAAAAATCTTATAAAACATCCTTAAAATGTGAATACAATTTATTAACAAGTTTTAAAAAAGTGATAATTTAAAACTATAGGTTTTTATTAGAATTTCATAAGGTAAGAAAAAAAAATTGAAAATGATATATTTATATTTTTTCATAAATGATTTTTATGTTAAATATTTTGATATTTTAGGATTCAAGAAGTTAAGGCTCAACCTCAGAACTTGCTTTTAGATTCAGTATTTGATGATCCATGGACTGCAGCTCTTAGGTTTGAATATATATTTTATTTCAAGTATAACTCTGTATAATTGAAAGTTTGTTTTCCTAGGGATGTTATAAGTGACTTTGACTATATTAAGATTCGTACAGTAAAAATGGTTGGGTTGCTGTTAAATGTATTTTGCAAACGAAAACATATATCTCATTTAAAAGAAATGGAAATTTCAGAAACACCCACTGGACTCCTGGGTCTTTGGGTAAAATTATTATTTAAATATTTAAATCTATTGTTTACTATATAAATATAGTAGTATAATATGTTATAGTATTTTTTGAATAAATGATTTAATAATTTTAACTGTTTCTTAATTGTTGTTTATTTTTAGGGAAATAAGGGTGCTGTCAGTTTTAGTTTTAAAATTCACGATACTACAATATGTTGTATCAACTGTCATTTTGCTGCACATGAAGAAAATTTAAAACATCGAATTGATGATTATCATACAATTATTAAAAGTCAATATTTTGGTTCATCCAAGAAAACAATTTTAAATCATGAGTATGTAATTTAATATTCCTAAAGACCCATTTCATCAGTAACTGTTAATTGTTTATGATATCTTTAATCATATAACATCATTAAACAATTAACTATTAAATTTTATAATATAGAAACTAAAAAAAAAAAAGTCTATTTCTATAATTAATTGTGTGTTAATTGATTTTAAAACAAAATTAATTTTTAAACATTTGTAAATTTAATATTAATTAAGTAATAAGTACCTTATTAAATTTATAAGGTAATAAAAAAATGTACTTCAATTAATTTTAATTATTTGATCATTCATTATTATAGTGATGTGTACTTATTTTAACTATCATAGTTAAGTGTGTGTCGAATAAATATTGAATGCAATTTAATAAATGTTAATGTTCATATATTTTTTTTAGCTATGTATTTTGGTTTGGTGATCTTAATTTTCGTTTAGACAATAGTTCATTAAAATCAGCTGAAGAAATTGCTTACACTGTTAATAATGTAGAGTCATCTTATAAAACTGCAAACATATTAACTGATATCTGGGCACAAGATGAATTAAATTTAGTCATGAAAAAATCATTAGTATTTAAAGAATTTGTTGAGGAATTACCAATGTTTCCACCAACCTACCGATATATTATTGGTTCTTGCCGATATGATGTCAAGTATGACTTTCACTGTAAATATTTATTTATTATATTTGTATTCATATATATATATATATATATATATATGTATGTATGTATTATATGTCAATTTATAATGACAATCATTTTTTCTTAGGAGACGACCTGCATGGACAGATCGTATTTTATACAAAGCAATGGACTCATCAAATAAAAAATGTGCATTAGATATATTATCTTATAAGTATATTGAGTCAATTAAATTGAGTGACCATAAACCAGTTTATGGAGAATCTAGTATTCAAGTAATAATATTTTAATGGTTTGATCAAATTTAGTTTTAACTTTATAATTTTGTGTAGTTAAATAAAGGATTTTGTAAAGCAAATTCTACCTATAATCAACCTATTATTTTCCAACAAATAAATACATGGCAATTGGAAGAAGTCAATGAAGTGAATTTACGGATAAAAGATTATATTCCATGTGTTAATGATTGGATTGGAGTATTTAATGTATGTTATAACTTATAATTTTACATAATTTAATATTTAATCATATAATAAAATAAATATACATTTATATTGTTTAATTTATATATACTTTCTAGGAAAAATATACCAGTCTTGAAGATTATTTATCATATGTTTACTTACCTTCAGAGATGGCTGAAATTGAAGAATCCAACTTGGAATATAGACGATTTAATAATATAGAATCTGCACATAGAGTAAAATTTCTTCCTGAAATTTTTCCAGATGGATCAAAAAGTGTATGTTTAAATTTTTCTGAGACAGCAGTGCTGAATCCTGGCACTTACAGATTGATTTATTTTAGCAGTTCTAATAATTCAGTGCTTGGTTTATCAAATCCATTTATCGCATCTAAACATAATTCTACACTTAACACGTCTCATGAATTTGGTTGGTGATATTTTATTACTTTTATATTGTTGAATCATTTAAAAATCTACTTAGTGAAAAAAATTATTTTTATATGACTAGCAAGTACTTAAAATTATATATAATTGTACCAAAATATATTTAGTTGCTCATTCTAGTGTTCAAAATTTATCTGTGATTAAAGCTGGAGCATTGAAAAACAATTTTAATTGTAAACCTAACTTCAGATTAAAAAGTTGTATAAATTTATATTTGATACAAATCTATAATGAAAATTATTTGTAAAGTTCCAATTACAATTCTATATAATGTAAAATAAATTATAATTTTATGTTAATAGTATAATACTGTTTATATTTTATTTTAAATGTCCATAACTAATTAAGAAAAAACCATTAGTTATATTTGTGTTGTTTCATTAAAAAGTATACATACATGTAAAGTTTTTATAGAATATTTTTCTTTTAAATCTGGATGGTTTCATTATGATGTCTGATTTTCTGTCTGTAAACAATGTGTTTACCAGAAATTATGTTCCTATATTAAATTCTCGATCTTGCACCAATTTCAGGTGTTGTTTCTGATAGCAAGTATTGTCCAATTAGTTCATTAGAAATGCCATCTTTTGATAATGGAAATAACCCATTAAAATGTAAAGAATATTTATACAATAATAATTTCAATTTAGTTATTTAATTGTAATTAAGAGAAAAATAATCTAGTGCTAACATTTTCAACTTACATACTATTAATGTTAGCCAAATGATAAATAATTAAAATCTAATATTTTTTTCATTATTCATTTTATTAAATATTACAATTACATTTTTATTATGAAGATACATCTGTTGAATCATCATCTTAAAGATTTATTTTTCACTAGGATTTTTTCAGGATTTCTGGAAGTAAAATTATTTCTATAACATACAAGATTAATGTTTAAATTTGATGTGGAGTTTTATATAGAAATTAATTAGAATTTATCAAGTCTTTTGAAAAAGTTTTTCTTTCATACATTTTCTTTTCTTTGTAGTTTTTAATATTTAAAATATAAATTTAAGATTCTAGCTTCTGAGCTTTCTTTGAAAATTGACCAATTTAAAGTATAAACCTTGTTTTTATTATTTAAGTTTTAGAATAAGAATTTGATGAAAATATTGAAAAGAATATTTTTCTACAAAGTTCCTGGCCATTTATATATAATAATCTTCATATTGTATTCATTAAAGATAGTTTTTAGTATCTACTTCTTAAAAACAGTAATTTCTATATTAATTCTAGTAATAGAAACAGAATAGGAGTGATGAGTGGTTTTTGATAATTTAGAAACAATATTTCAATTCCATACACATCAATATTATTATTAAGATCGGTTATTTTTGGGACTCAGTTATGATTTCAACTTAAGTTAAACACAAAACAACACATCAGATATACTATGACGAGTTAGTGAAACTATACCGTTAAAGTTATATCACTAGTTTTTGTGAATACCTGGAATAATCAATGTTTCATTGTATGTATATAAATATAATGAGCAATGACATTGATGTATTTATAAAATTATAGAACCCTTTTACATATTAAATTTTAATTACAATATTGAAATTAATAATTATTATTAATAAATATTCAAACTATAAACAATAGCCAATAGTAATAAATTGATCAACAAATTAATAATTTTAATAACTAAAAAACTATCCTAGGATAATGGGAACAGGTGCAGCCTCTGTTGTACTTAGGAAGTTGGAAAGGTAGAAAACAGAAAGAAATTTAATGTATATCTGTAAATAACAATAAACTATTGCTATAGGAAAATTGATTCTGAGCAAAGTTCAGTTAATAGTGATTCATTGTCGACAATATATGGGCTGATCAATCTATCGTAATACACTCATCTTGAAAAGTATTAACTTTTTTCAAAATTTGTTTTCACAAACATTTAATAAACAAGCTGTTCTAAAATTTGACATTTACATTATTTTTTGTCACCCTAATTTAGAAACTACTACTTTCTTTTGATTTTCAAAAGGCAACCTATATTAAAAATTTCATAAATAGACGGAGTATAAAATAAATTCTGATGTTTAAATTTTTAATTTCTGTCATTCTGTTGACGAGATATTCCACTTTTAAGTTTGTGTTAGGAGGGTAGGTTGCCATTTGAAAATCAAAAGTAGGTAGCCGTTCACCCCAAAAATAAGAATGACAAAAAATAACATATATGTGAAATTTCAGAGCTGCTTGTTTCTAAATTATCTTTAAAATAAATGTCTAAATCAATAAAAAATTAATACTTTTCAAGATAATGAGTGTCTTATAATAGATTAATCACCCTATATATGTCATATTATGATAAATAATTAAAAATATTGTACTGATTTTCCTGTTAGTTTTATCACAATTAATGAGAAAATCGATAAATTAACTCCTTGAAATACCACTCCAAAAAAATGTCCTTTCAAAAAAGTCTACATTATATATCTGAGTAAGTTTTCTGGTAATATTCACATAATAAAAAATGTATATATAAATAAACATCTTTGTAAAACCAATACATTCTTCACTACACTCGGAATCTAAAATTTATGAAGATTTTTTAGATTTTATGTTACAGTCAAATTTTTCATGAATTACTTATTTAAACATTTTTTATAATCATATATTCTGAAATGTTAAATTGTATTTTTTTGTGGTTGAAGTAGTTAATTACTTTTGATTTTCAAATAGAAACCTATATTAAAAATTGTACAAATAAATGGATTATTTGTTAGTTTAAACATATTATTTATATTTTTTTTACTACTTTAATCTTACCCTAACTTAAAAATGGAATATTTCAACTACAGATTGACAGAACTTTGCATAGGTTGATATTTGAAAATTAAAATCTAAAACATTGACTGATATACATTTTAAAAAATAATATTTCTTTCAAAATTTGACTGTAAAGTTAAATAAATTTGGAAGAGTCAGTATATAATTGAACTATGCTATGGTATTTTTTTCATGTTAAAATAATTAATTTATTGTAGGGTCAATTATTTGAATTTTCTGAAGAAAAAGATATTCAGAAATATATTATTTTTAAATTCTAAAATATAAAATAATTTTTTTTTAGGGTAAATTTTGGGGTATTTATCTTTATAATTCTAATTCACACTTTTGATATGTTTTTTGGCAACTAAAGGTTTTTAAGGTTTCTTCGGACATTACCGAACAATGTGTTCAAATAGTTGTATTAAAAAAAAAAAATAAACTGAATTTTCATTTAAACTACGAACTGTTGGCACACTGTTATTGTAAACAAAAGTTTAAATTAATTATATTTCCAAAGAGTAAACAAAATAATAGTGTTGTGCTTATCAAAATCAGTAAACTGTGTTTCTAAACATAATTATAAATAACAAATTATCATTATGGTACATAATTTTAAACAGTTTTTGGATTAAATCCATATTTTTAGAAGACCTGTAATAGCACAACCAAGTAAAGTTATAAAATAAAAGTTGTGTATACCACGAATTAATGTTAATTTTTAACATTTTAAATAGTAAAGCTGATGTTTTATGTCATAATCAAGTTAATAAATTGGGATTGTCGAATCACTGATTAATAATTACTGTTATGATTACTAGTAGATGTATGATGATTCACTAAGTAACTTTTGGTTAAATTTTATAAATATTTAAATTCTGATTTTTAGAATTTTTAATTAAAGTTAAGACGAATGTTTTCGAATACTTAGGATTTTTTACAATAATTAAGGAGCATCATGTGACGATATCAACTTAAAGTTTTTAAACAAGAATCTATATTAGATTTTAAATATGGTGGTTTAATAGTAAATTTAATTAATTTAATTAAAATGTTTTATTTTTATTAACCCGTTGAAGAGATATTTCACTTTAAACTTCAGATGGGGAAGAGTAATGGAGTACCATGTGTGTGACAGAATGGTACACAATGCTGCATAGACAAAATTTTAGTATCGTTCGATAGCGAATTTTCACGGTTTTTTCAATTATAAATTGAAAAAAAGTGATATTTCTAAGCCGATTTTCGAACATCCGACCATGGCAAACGAAAGAGCATACTTTTTTTCTATATAATGGCATATTCTTTAGAGAACTTTTCTAATTAGTTAAAATTTTATGAAAAATATAGACAAAATTTTAGTATCGTTCGATAGTG